AGTGTATGGTAGGGTACATAATTACTTGTGTGTGATGGCTAACCCCCCTGCATGGTTCAATACTGTACCTCCATCCAGCCAGCCTGCAGGGCGTCCCACTCCTCCAGAGAGTCCCACAGCAGCTGTTTCAGTTTCACCTCCGCACTCAGCTCCTCTAACGCCTCATACTTAGTCACCTCCACCTACAGAGGTCAGGGGTTAGAGGTCAGAGAGGGGTCACTCAGCTCCTCTAACGCCTCATACTTAGTCACCTCCACCTACAGAGGTCAGGGGTTAGAGGTCAGAGAGGGGGTCACCCAGCTCCTCTAACGCCTCATACTTAGTCACCTCCACCTACAGAGGTCAGGGGTGAGAGGTCAGAGAGGGGTCACTCAGCTCCTCTAACGCCTCATACTTAGTCACCTCCACCTACAGAGGTCAGGGGTTAGAGGTCAGAGAGGGGTCACTCAGCTCCTCTAACAATCCATACTTAGTCACCTCCACCTACAGAGGTCAGGGGTTAGAGGTCAGAGAGGGGTCACCCAGCTCCTCTAACGCCTCATACTTAGTCACCTCCACCTACAGAGGTCAGGGGTTAGAGGTCAGAGAGGGGTCACTCAGCTCCTCTAACGCCTCATACTTAGTCACCTCCACCTACAGAGGTCAGGGTTAGAGGTCAGAGAGGGGTCACTCCAGCTCCTCTAACGCCTCATACTTAGTCACCTCCACCTACAGAGGTCAGGGGTTAGAGGTCAGGAGAGGGGTCACTCAGCTCCTCTAACGCCTCATACTTAGTCACCTCCACCTACAGAGGTCAGGGGTTAGAGGTCAGAGAGGGGTCACTCAGCTCCTCTAACGCCTCATACTTAGTCACCTCCACCTACAGAGGTCAGGGGTTAGAGGTCAGAGAGGGGTCACTCAGCTCCTCTAACAATCCATACTTAGTCACCTCCACCTACAGAGGTCAGGGGTTAGAGGTCAGAGAGGGGTCACTCAGCTCCTCTAACGCCTCATACTTAGTCACCTCCACCTACAGAGGTCAGGGGTTAGAGGTCAGAGAGGGGTCACTCAGCTCCTCTAACGCCTCATACTTAGTCACCTCCACCTACAGAGGTCAGGGGTTAGAGGTCAGAGAGGGGTCACTCAGCTCCTCTAACGCCTCATACTTAGTCACCTCCACTACAGAGGTCAAGGGTTAGAGGTCAGAGAGGGGTCACTCAGCTCCTCTAACCTCATACTTGTCACCTCCACCTACAGAGGTCAGGGGTTAGAGGTCAGAGAGGGGTCACTCAGCTCCTCTAACGACCTCATACTTAGTCACCTCCACCTACAGAGGTCAGGGGTTAGAGGTCAGAGAGGGTCACTCAGCTCCTCTAACGCCTCATACTTAGTCACCTCCACCTACAGAGGTCAGGGGTTAGAGGTCAGAGAGGGGTCACTCAGCTCCTCTAACAGCCTCATACTTAGTCACCTCCACCTACAGAGGTCAGGGGTTAGAGGTCAGAGAGGGGTCACCCAGCTCCTCTAACGCCTCATACTTAGTCACCTCCACCTACAGAGGTCAGGGGTTAGAGGTCAGAGAGGGGTCACTCAGCTCCTCTAACACCTCATACTTAGTCACCTCCACCTACAGAGGTCAGGGGATAGAGGTCAGAGAGGGGTCACTCAGCTCCTCTAACGCCTCATACTTAGTCACCTCCACCTACAGAGGTCAGGGGTTAGAGGTCGGGGGGTTTACTCAGTCCTCTAACGCCTCATACTAAGTCACCTCCACCTACAGAGGTCAGGGGTTAGAGGTCAGAGAGGGGTCACTCTAGCTAGGTACGCCTGCATATAGTACCTACCACCGTACAGAAGGTCAAGGGTTAGAGGTAGAGAGGGGTCACTCAGTCTCACCTCTGACTAAGCACCTCCACAGAGGCAGGGTTAGAGGTCGAAGGGGTCATGCCTCAATCATATTGTCACCCATACAGATAGGGTTAGAGTCAGAAGGGGCAAATCTTAAAGCACAACAGTCACTCCATACAGAGGTCAGGATAGTCAGAAGGGCACTCGTTTCTATACGCCTCAACTTATCCTCAAGGAACAATGGTGAAAAGTTATGTTTTGCTGCTGTCTGGTGGTCAGAGAATGTACTGTACCGTTACTCTGCATCTAATCTATGTATTGTATCGTATAGTGTTGTATTGTATTATATGGTATTGTAGAATATTGTATTGTATAGTATTGCATTGTATAGTATAGTACAGTATTGTATAGTATTGCATAGTATTGTATAGTATTGTAGTGTAGTACCTTGAAGTTCTTCTGGAAAGACTTGTACTGGAAGGCCTGGGTCTGCAGCTCGTCTATGGAGATCTGGACCTCCTCCAGCAGCAGACGGACCTTGGGACGCTCAGCGGTGATGTCCATGATCTGATTGTTCTGGGGGAGCAGAGATTAACACATAAATACACTTATATCTGGATCATGGATAGGTAACTGGCCCCTTTTGTAGGCCCACAAATCAATTTCCAAAAACAAAAAAATAGAAATGTTTTCTTTTTAAAAAATGTGGAATTCAACTTCCTGTTGAGAGTTAGAATAGTAGAATACACAAGGTGCAATATCGACATGTGGTTGTGCATCAGCATTTTTTCTCTTGTCATGTCAGTCACTCAATTAGCCCATGGCAGCAAAAAAAACATTTGATTGCTAAATGAGTCTAGCCAGCTATCTAAACTTGTAGTAATCATGTTTGAATTACAGACTGGGGGCCCACATTGATTGTGCAAACATTTCTCTCCACCCCATGGCAAAATGCCTAGAATTGCTGCAAATTTGCTTTAAAACTGCAACATTTTCTCTATGCCCACGGCAAAACCTAAATGTTTTGCTCGCAAGTTGGGGTGAAGGTCCCCCCCCAGCAAAATGTCACTTAGGTCCCCAAAAAGGCTAGGGCCGGCTCTGACTGCATGTGTGGTTATGGATGTGGGTAAGCAGAGCCGTGAGACACTGAGGACCCTCATGATGAGTTCAGATGTTTTGTGGCCCCAACCCCCATCAAAGTTGCCCCTCCCTGATCTGGATCAAACCCATAAACATCTCTATTTACCTGACTCTTACAGGCTAAATTGTCTTTTCAGGTCAGTTGATTTAGAACACAACGACCTGGGGAAGAGGAACCCAGTTGTAAATGACTGTCATATCCAGAGACGAATGTATACATTCTTAGCTTTTTCCACGGTTATTTATAAAGGCTATCTGGGGACAAACACTGACCATTAGTGTGATGATACAATGCATCTGAACTTTGACCCTTGACCTCTAGTTACCTGTGCCTGCTGTTTGACCCTCTTGACCTCCTTGTTGAGGTCGGTGATGTCCCGTTGGAGGTGGACACAGAACTTGTCCACGTTGGCGTCCCTCTCTCCCACGGCCTTGTCGATGGCGTTGCGTACTGCGGTGACGGAGGTTTTCAGGGTGGCGTAGACTGCAAAGTCCTCAGGAGGGGTGGGAACGGAGTAGGAGTCTATCAGCTTGTACATCTGGGACACGGTCTCTGTCTGCTCATCCAATGACTCGATCTGAGACACAAACACAAAGACCATGAAATAACTGTCAGTGTTTCCCCCAGATGTTTTCCTAGGCGGGCCAGAATTGGCAGAAACATGCAAGAAAGACACTCACCTGACAACGTGGAGAGGGTACTGAACCCAACACAACTGACTGTCTTTGTCATCTTTTCCAGTAGTTTGGTGATGAGTAATGTAACAATGACTACAGTGTGATACAAAGTGACCAAGTAGCCTACTCTGGGGCGGTGTCAGCTACGACTGGTGGCGGAGAGTTCAGATACTCTGGGGCTGGAGTCAGCTACTCTGGTGCGGAGTCAGCTTACTCTGGAGCGGTGTCAGCTAACTCTGGGGCGTGTCAAGCTTACTCTGTGGGCCGGTTGTCAGCATACTCTGGGCGGGCGGGCTGGCGTCAGCTACTCTGGGCGGGCGTCAGCTACTCTGGGGCGTGCGTCAGCTACTCTGGGTCGCCGGATGTCAGCTACTCTGGGCGGCGTCAGCCACTATGGGGCTGTTGTCAGACTGACTTCTGGGGAATTGTCAGCTACTCTGGGGGATTGTCAGCTACCTGGGCGGTGTCAGCTACTCTGGTGGCGGTAGTCAGCTACCTTGGGGATTGTCAGCTACTCTAGGGCGGTGTCAGCGACTCTGTGGGTTGTGTCCAAGCTAACTCTGGGGTGGTGTTTCTGGGTGTCAGCTACTCTGGGGCGGTGTCAGCTACTCTGGGCGGGTGTGTCAGCTACTCTGGGGCGGTGTCAGCTACTCTGGGGCGGTGTCAGCTACTCTGGGGATTGTCAGCTACTCTGGGGATTGTCAGCTACTGGGGCAGTGTCAGCATCTATCTGGGGCAGTGTTTGTCAGCTACTCTGGGGCGTGGTTTCAGCTACTCTGGGGCGGTGGTCAGCTACTCGGGGCGGTGTTCATTACTCTGGGGATGGTGTCAGCTACTCTGGGGCGGTGCGGTGTCAGCTATCTGGGTTTGTCAGCTACTTGGGGCGGTGTGCTAGCTACTCTGGGGCGGTGTCAGCTACTCTGGGGCGGTGTCAGCTACTCTGGGGATTGTCAGCTACTCTGGGGCGGTGTCAGCTACTCTGGGGCGGTGTCAGCTACTCTGGGGATTGTCAGCTACTCTGGGGCGGTGTCAGCTACTCTGGGGCAGCGTCAGCTACTCTGGGGCGGTGTCAGCTACTCTGGGGCGGTGTCGGCTACTCTGGGGCGGTGTCAGCTACTCTGGGGCGGTGTCAGCTACTCTGGGGCGGTGTCAGCTACTCTGGGGCGGTGTCAGTATCTTGAATAAAGACAATGATGGCTCTCTGTGACCGTCAACCTTAACCTAATTCTCCCAACCTGCTACGTTCACTTTCCTAACCTGCTGCGTAAGTTCTCCCAACCTGCCACAAAACTTTTGACAAAAACGTCTCTTACCCTCTCCTGTATCTCCTCTAGGAAGGTGAGGGAGTTGACAAACTCTGTGGTTGCAGAGGGGATGAACTCCAATTTGAACTGGGCGTCCTGAGCCTCAGCGATGATGGCGTCGATCTTTCTCTTGGCCAGCAGGGGGAGCATGTCATTGATCGCCTGGAGCGGAGGCAGCACAGGGGTTAATGTTAGTCAGTGGATGGATAGCCCAATCTCAAATCGACCCGTTGATCCTACACCCTATGCACTTGTGGAGATCCGAGAGGATTTGACAGGTGTAAGCAATTTGGCAACAGCTCAAACTTGCCCTCTGATAGGCTAAGTGGAAGTTTATATTTACACATATTGCTAATACCAATGAAAAAGTCTCAGATCTCCACAAGTGCATAGGGCCCAGGGCCTAGGGGGTGGTTTGACACTGGGTATGTGAGTGTCCCTCTCCTCCTACCTCCAGACAGCGTAGTGGTGAGGGGGTGAGTTTCCCTTTGAGCAGGGTGGTGTCTACCAGCAGCATGCCCAGGTGTCTCTTCTGTTTGATGGCCAGGGCCTCTTCATGTTGCCCGTGGTACTTCTCCAGACTCTCAGCGAAGAACGCCACTCCTACAGGGAACAGGACAGGGTACAGAGTCACATGATGATTCTCTAGACAGTTTAGAAAAGAGAGATGGGGAGTGCTGATTGGCCACTGTGAAATATACAGAAAACACCTAAAGGACCTCATTGGATCCAAAGGTCTGAATGAACTGAGACAAAATGCATATGCTGCTATGGCATTGTACTGAATGTAGAGCAACTCAAAGCTACATACTGAAAAGCCTTGGCTCATCCATTTTTCTCTGTTCCCTAGTAAGTTAATTTAATTGATGATGTTGATGATGAAGAGCGTTGCTACGGTACCGTGATCTTCATCTCTGAGCGCGTCCAGGTCCAGACTCTCATTCTCTCTGTAGAAGACGCGGAACCTCTCAAAGGTGCGCGCGTACACGCTGGCCGAGTCAAACGCAAACTGGAGCGATTGCTGAGAGGGAGCGAGAGAAGGAGGAAGAGGGAGATGAGGAAAGAAAACAAATCAAAGGACGAAGAGGCTAGAGAACAAAACATTGGACTGTGACAGTCATTTAACTGCCACAATAGATTTAAAGAGCTTTGGCATTTCGAATCATAACGGACGCCAAGTTGACACCAAAACGTCCAAGACAATTACAATCCACTTAGATAATGCAAATGACCTTTGACCTTTGAAAGGACACAGAATGCTGACCTTGATGTGGAGGATGATGTTCAGGAGATGTTTATCATTCTCTAACATGGACTCCAGACCGGGGCCGTCACCACACATCTTCTCCTCTACCTGAATGGTAGTGGAATACAACCATGTTATTATAGGATATTATTACTAACTGGACTACGTCTTCTCCTCTACCTGAATGGGAGTGGAATACAACCATGTTATTATAGGATATTATTACTACTGGACTACGTCTTCTCCTCTACCTGAATGGGAGTGGAATACAACCATGTTATTATAGGATATTATTACTAACTGGACTACGTCTTCTCCTCTACCTGAATGGGAGTGGAATACAACCATGTTATTATAGGATATTATTACTAACTGGATTACGTCTTCTCCTCTACCTGAATGGGAGTGGAATACAACCATGTTATTATAGGATATTATTACTAACTGGACTACGTCTTCTCCTCTACCTGAATGGGAGTGGAATACAACCATGTTATTATAGGATATTATTACTAACTGGACTACGTCTTCTCCTCTACCTGAATGGTAGTGGAATACAACCATGTTATTATAGGATATTATTACTAACTGGACTACGTCTTCTCCTCTACCTGAATGGGAGTGGAATACAACCATGTTATTATAGGATATTATTACTAACTGGATTACGTCTTCTCCTCTACCTGAATGGTAGTGGAATACAACCATGTTATTATAGGATATTATTACTAACTGGACTACGTCTTCTCCTCTACCTGAATGGGAGTGGAATACAACCATGTTATTATAGGATATTATTACTAACTGGACTACGTCTTCTCCTCTACCTGAATGGTAGTGGAATACAAAACCATGTTATTATAGGATATTATTACTAATTGGATTACGTCTTCTCCTCTACCTGAATGGTAGTGGAATACAACCATGTTATTATAGGATATTATTACTAACTGGATTACGTCTTCTCCTCTACCTGAATGGTAGTGGAATACAACCATGTTATTATAGGATATTATTACTAACTGGACTACGTCTTCTCCTCTACCTGAATGGTAGTGGAATACAACCATGTTATTATAGGATATTATTACTAACTGGATTACGTCTTCTCCTCTACCTGAATGGTAGTGGAATACAACCATGTTATTATAGGATATTATTACTAACTGGACTAGGTCTTCTCCTCTACCTGAATGGTAGTGGAATACAACCATGTTATTATAGGATATTATTACTAACTGGATTACGTCTTCTCCTCTACCTGAATGGTAGTGGAATACAACCATGTTATTATAGGATATTATTACTAACTGGATTACGTCTTCTCCTCTACCTGAATGGTAGTGGAATACAACCATGTTATTATAGGATATTATTACTAACTGGATTACGTCTTCTCCTCTACCTGAATGGTAGTGGAATACAACCATGTTATTATAGGATATTATTACTAACTGGATTACGTCTTCTCCTCTACCTGAATGGTAGTGGAATACAACCATGTTATTATAGGATATTATTACTAACTGGATTACGTCTTCTCCTCTACCTGAATGGTAGTGGAATACAACCATGTTATTATAGGATATTATTACTAACTGGATTACGTCTTCTCCTCTACCTGAATGGTAGTGGAATACAACCATGTTATTATAGGATATTATTACTAACTGGATTACGTCTTCTCCTCTACCTGAATGGTAGTGGAATACAACCATGTTATTATAGGATATTATTACTAACTGGATTACGTCTTCTCCTCTACCTGAATGGTAGTGGAATACAACCATGTTATTATAGGATATTATTACTAACTGGATTACGTCTTCTCCTCTACCTGAATGGTAGTGGAATACAACCATGTTATTATAGGATATTATTACTAACTGGATTACGTCTTCTCCTCTACCTGAATGGTAGTGGAATACAACCATGTTATTATAGGATATTATTACTAACTGGACTACGTCTTCTCCTCTACCTGAATGGTAGTGGAATACAACCATGTTATTATAGGATATTATTACTAACTGGATTACGTCTTCTCCTCTACCTGAATGGTAGTGGAATACAACCATGTTATTATAGGATATTATTACTAACTGGACTACGTCTTCTCCTCTACCTGAATGGTAGTGGAATACAACCATGTTATTATAGGATATTATTACTAACTGGATTACGTCTTCTCCTCTACCTGAATGGTAGTGGAATACAACCATGTTATTATAGGATATTATTACTAACTGGATTATGTCTTCTCCTCTACCTGAATGGTAGTGGAATACAACCATGTTATTATAGGATATTATTACTAACTGGATTATGTCTTCTCCTCTACCTGAATGGTAGTGGAATACAACCATGTTATTATAGGATATTATTACTAACTGGATTACGTCTTCTCCTCTACCTGAATGGTAGTGGAATACAACCATGTTATTATAGGATATTATTACTAACTGGATTACGTCTTCTCCTCTACCTGAATGGTAGTGGAATACAACCATGTTATTATAGGATATTATTACTAACTGGACTACGTCTTCTCCTCTACCTGAATGGTAGTGGAATACAACCATGTTACTATAGGATATTATTACTAACTGGACCACAGCCATCTTTTTCTTGGTGAACGGCTAACATGTGCAATCAGATTTCAGGGTATTAAAACATTTGTGTCCGTAAAACTGGCTTGAAAAACTACAACAAAATAAAAAACTAACCCGCTTGGCTTTGGTGAACCAACACCAGCACTTGACTTGTTCCTACTAGCCCTGGTTTTGCTGATGGCTCCTTTGAGGAAACATCTACTCACTATAACAGGTGTGGTTGTCTCACCTAGCTACCTTAAGATGAATGCACTAACTAAGTCGCTCTAGATAAGAGCGTCTGCTACAGGGCTTGTGACTAACTTTTTTGTCACCGTCCCGAAGTGCAATTTCCAACTGTCCCAAACTGAACTTGAACCGTCCCAAAATTAAAATACTTGTTTTTTATATGTTTTGATTTGCCAACATGTGTCGAGGTCATTTGCAGTGCTTTTAAAGTAATTGGTGTATTTCTGAGACAGATACAGACAGACTAGATAACGAAAACTTAATTTGTTAAGAAAAACCCTTTTTGCATCTTAATGAAAACAGACATCCATTACATTATGAATATTATAATGTATTAATTGAACATGCTGACCACATGTATACAATATATCTAAGAGAGAACAATGTTATTGTGAAGTAATTACTGAATAAATTTAAGTTAGAGACATTGCATTCCACCACCAGCTGCCCCATTTAAACAACATAACATAGCGATATACAATAAAGAACGTGTGTGTTCCCCAGCCTTCACTTTCTCTGCTTCACCCTCCCTCTTCAGTCACTGAAGAATGGTCGCCTTCACCTTTTTGAGATCCAACATTTGCTAACGGCCAGGGCCTAAAATGTACTTTATGGTCCACCAGCCACTGTGGCAGGTAGATTTAAAAATCTACCAGCCACTCAGATTTTTTACCAGCCAAAATATATATTTTTTGCTAAAATTACACCAAAAAACCAATGAGCATGCTTTGTAATGTTTCTAAAACAATAAATGTATTACTAGTAAGAAGTAATGAGGTATATTGTTTCATTTCATTTCATTTTTTGTGACCTGGGTCTTTTAACCAAAATATCACAGATGAGACAAAAAATGTCACCTGCCCCTTTAAGGGCGGGAGGTTACCGTGGTAACGCGAGTCATGTTTGTACCTGTCAGATTGAGTCTGACTAGTATCCGCGCGTTGCTTGTCTTCCCTAGCAGTTGAAACTCAAAACATTGAAAAACAACCTAGCTTGTGAACAAAACAAATGTAAATAGCCAAGGAACACAAGGACAAAGTCTCACTTCAGCTGAGGCGCAAGGCAGAAATACTTTGCACATTTTACAGTGTGCATTCGGTTCAGGTCAGGGAGATACAACCATATTCTCTAGAACTGTGGTTCCCAACCTTTTTCTGTTACTGTACCACAAACTGAATTTTGCTCTGCCCGGAGTACCCCTGAAGTACCCCCTAGTGTGCATTATACCAGTAGGCCTATGGTCTCATGAGTCTTCTCAAGGACCCCCTGTGGATAGTCCAAGTACCCCGCAGGGGTCCTAGTACCTCTGGTTGGGAGTCACTGCTGTAGAATACCATAGTAGCTGGCCATAGCCTACAGACAACGCCACAGCAACTCAGCGTGAAACCTCAGCCCCGGGCGGGGCGGGCCGCAGACAGGCTGGGAGAGTGTCAAATATGCATTCTAATAGCTCCATTTGCCCAACATTGAAATGATATTCTAATATACATTTCCATAACCTAAATAATAACATATGCGATGCCTAGCCAGATATATCATTGTTTGAAACCTGGACGTTTTACATAGCCTATCTTACCTTGTTTTTAATAGCCTACAGCCAAAAAAAACGTAAATGTCCTGATATGCCGTTGAAAGCAGCATTTCTTCTTCTACTGTCCAAAGGCACTAAGGCACAATCCTATTGTTGCATCTTCAGATATTCCCTCTTCCTAAGTTTCTACCATTAGGCTGTATATCCATCTCTGTCGCGTTATAAAAACCGCTCGCATCAGGTGCGCGTTTGAGAATATTGTTCTCCCGTAATAGCATTTTGGGAACATTCACGCATATGGCCGAGAAGAGCGGACACATTGCAGCACTTGTAATGTGAAGGATTCATAGTTCATCATCTTTGAAGCTAAATGTTGTGATCCGTTTCATCAGCCTCGTCTTTGCGTTGAAACATTTTAGTACGGAACCCGTTTTATGCATTTTATATTTTTCTGGCCTGTCGTCCCTCAACTGTCCCAACGACTGTTTTGAACCGTCCCAGACATCTTTTTTATTGACGACGGGACGCCCTTATTTTCGAGCCCTGGTCTGCTAAATGACTAAAATGTAAATGCCTGCTAACAAGTCAATGATAGTGTTTCCCACCTTACTGTTGATCGTGGGCTGAGTGAAGGCATCAAAGTAGGAGTCAGTCACCAGCACAACTAATGACAACACTGTCTCCTGGAACCTAGAGATGATCTCTGACACACACTCCTGTTAGGGGAACACACATACACACAGTCACACACACAGACAAACACACAGACAGTACATTGTTACAAACAAAAAAAATCTACAAATTCAGAGCCATATTGGTATGTTGCAGAACGATGACATTGTCAGTGAGCTGAAAGGTGAGCGGTCCGGGGTTACAGACCTGGAAGACGTCTACGGAGGGTTCGTAGGTCAGAGCGTGCGTCTCCAGCATCAGCTCTGACACAAACATGGGCAGAAGATGAACCACCTCCACTGTGGGCTCTGCAGCCTGAGGTACACACACACACACACACACGGGTCAATCCACAGTTAAAGGGATGGTATTGTCACAACAAAAGGAACACACTCTTCCGTGTAGTAAACCTCTTAGAACGATGCAGGCAGAAAGCATGACTCTATTCCTCATTCTACAAGACAGACAATAACACCGGTTATACACAATACATTTCTATCTGCAGCATTAAACTCTCCTAAACAGGTCCCTGGTTTTAGAAAGCCTAGTGGTCCACTGGAGAATCTCCATTGAGACGAGTTGGCTGAAAACGTCACGAAAATGATGCGAGCCCATCGATGGGGCCGGAAGCCGTGTTTTGTTATGATTCTGAACGGTCAGACAGCTAGAGAAAATGACAAGAAGCTGCCATGTGGAGAATCGTAGGTGGCTCGTTTCAACAAGTTTAATCTTGTTATTGATACCATGTCTTGTTTTGAGGTGTTTTGACTGATTTCATGTCAATGCTAACATGGCTAAAATTCACTACCTAGCTAACCAACTAACTAACTAACTAACTATATATGAGAGACAACAAGTGATAAATGTATTTATGTTGTCAATAAACACTAAGCCAACCCTGTCTGTTTTGCGCCGTAGTTGTGTCGGTTTTGTTGCTAAACAACCAACCTGTCTATGCTTTTTAGTCAATGCCCTGAAGCCTTTTTCAAACCTCTCCTCAACAACCTTTATGTTGTAGCTCTGAACTAGCTCACCTCATTCACCTAGTCAACGGTTTGATGATTAGTTGACAAGTTGAATCAGGTGTTCAGGCTGTGGAATAGATCAAATCCATGGAACGGCTGTGGGTTCCAGAGGGTTTCAAACAGTCTGTCTTGCTGTACCTTCTTGTCTAAGTCCTCTGTGGCAGCGGCGGCTCCACCTCCGTCTCCAGCTGCAGTAGCAACAGCATCAGCATTAGCATCAGCATTAGCATCAGCATTAGCATCAGCATTAGCATCAGCATTAGCATTAGCATCAGCATTAGCAGCATCGGTGTCGGCCCAGCTGTGGATGACAGCGTGTGTAGGGGTGTGTTGAATCTGATCCTGCAGGACGGCCAGTAGTTTGGCCACAGAGTTCACAGCCAGGATGTGCATGGTGTTCACCATCAGGTAGTCAGCCAACCGGATGAAACTAGAACAAGACAGAGCAGGAAGGGTGTTCCTTACTGACACCTCGACAGGTAAAGCACTCCAGACCAAAGGACAGGTAGAAATGGAACGTGTGTGAGAGATGGTGTGTGTAGTGGATAGGAGGACGTCAATAATGTAACATGCCAGAGAAAGAGCTTTATGTGGAAATTAGACTGGGAAATAATGAAACAGTATAAAGGAGTGCATAGCGAGATGTGTGTGTGTGTGTGTGTGTGTGGGGGGGGGGGGGGGGGGGGGGGTACCCACCAGGTGAGGCGTCTACAGTGGTATCTCTTGTTGGCCTGTTCTGTGTAACTCATCTTCTCTGGAGCCTCTTCAAACAGCAGCTCAATCTCAGGTGACTGCTTACTCTCTGTTCCCTCTGGAGTACACACACACACACACTGGACATTCACTCCACTGAAACTCTAAAAAGAGGTGTGTGTGTACCTGTGTCGTAGCTATAGTCAGGTGTGTGTGTGTGTGTGTGTGTGTGTGTGTGTGTTTGTGTGTGTACCGGTGTCGTAGCTATAGTCAGGTGTGTGTGTGTGTGTGTGTGTTGTGTGTGTTGTTGTGTGTGTTGTCGTGTGGTACTGGTGTCGTAGCTATAGTCAGGTGTGTGGTGGTGTGTGTGTGGTGTGTGTGTGTGTGTGTGTGTGTGTGTGTGTGGTGTGTGTGTGTTGTACCGGTGTCATAGCTATTGTCAGGTGTGTGTGTTGTGTGTGTGTGTGGTGTGACCGGTGTCCATAGCTATAATCAGGTGTGTGTGTGTGTGTACCGGTGTCATAGCTATAATCAGGTGTGTGTGTGTGTGTGTGTGTGTGTGTGTGTGTGTGTGTACCGGTGTCATAGCTATAATCAGGTGTGTATCCTGCCTCCAGCATGGCCGTGTAACAGGCGCTCCTGGCCACCTCCTTTACCAGCTCCCTGAACTCTTCCAGACGAGAAGATACCTGCACACACACACACACGAGTTGCCATGTAAAGGGACAGACACAGACGTAACAGTATTGCTTCCGTCCCTCTCCTTGCCCCATCCTGGGCTGGAACCAGGCACCCTCTGAACTGTCACCCACACAGCATCGCTAAACACATGCTGAGGCCCTTGCGGAGTAAGGGAAACGTTGACTTCAAGGTCTCAGAGCGGGTGACGTCACCGATTGAACACTACTAGCGTGCACCGCTAACATGCTAGCCATTTCACATCAGCTACACACACACACACACACAGAGAGAAGATGTAATGTAAAGGGACACAGACACTGCGTACCTCCTTCAGCTGTTTGTACTGTGCCTCCTGGAACTCCTCCAGAGTGTATGTGTGATCTTTCTCGATGCGACACAGCCCCATATCACTGATCCTATAGCACATCTCTCTGATGTCTAGCAACGCCGGACGCAGAGACTGGAAACAGAGACATAGCTGTTACTGGGCATATCTATTATCTTTAAAGTAAGTACCTTCGTTGTGTTCAATTATATGAACATTTCATAGGGAAGATAGGATTGTTTCAATAATCCTAAGTAACGTTCAGACAACATGAACTAGCCCAAGCACATCCTGGAGTTCAATGGTGCAGACACAAATGTAGGGGTCTTAACCTGACCAGCAAACACTTCTGGCCCAACAATACCACCCACCTCATTGACCTGACCAGCAAACACATCTGGAGTGGACCCAACAATACCACCCACCTCATTGACCTGACCAGCAAACACATCTGGAGTGGACCCAACAATACCACCCACCTCATTGACCTGACCAGCAAACACTTCTGGCCCAACAATACCACCCACCTCATTAACCTGACCAGCAAACACTTCTGGCCCCAACAATACCACCCACCTCATTAACCTGACCAGCAAACACTTCTGGCCCAACAATACCACCCACCTCATTGACCTGACCAGCAAACACTTCTAGTGTTAACCATGCCACCCACCTCATTGACCTGACCAGCAAACACTTCTGGTGTTAACCATGCCACCCACCTCATTGACCTGACCAGCAAACACTTCTAGTGTTAACCATACCACCCACCTCATTGACCTGACCAGCAAACACTTCTAGTGTTAACCATACCACCCACCTCATTGACCTGACCAGCAAACACTTCTGGTGTTAACCATGCCACCCACCTCATTGACCTGACCAGCAAACACTTCTGGTGTTAACCATGCCACCCACCTCATTGACCTGACCAGCAAACACTTCTGGATCGAACAATACCACCCACCTCGTTGACGATGAACAGGCGCTCCTGCAGGGACTTCTTGCACGTGTTGATCTTCTTGGAGCGGACGTTGGTCCTCCACACTCTGAAGGCCTTCCACCTCCTGAAGAGGGCGAAGGCCGGGATGGCCAGGAGGCGGCGATGGCATCGGTACTCATGCTCCCAGCGCTCTAACGGCAGGAAGTCCATCTCTGCGTCAGAGATGCAGGTCACACCCTGCTGGCTGATCGTAGAGTAGTCCTGCTTGTTGATGTTCTCATACGTCACTATCCTGGGGGGAAAGGTCAAAGGTGAGAGTTCGGGATGGGTAGTGAGATTAAGGTTGTAGGTTTCATATTTGATGGAGGACTTGGGAGTTCAAATGTCTGCGTGAGTGTGTGTGAGTGTGTGTCGTCTCTCTTGGTGAGTCCCAATAATATCTGCTTTGTTCTGAAGTGTACACTCGTTCACTACTTTCCACAATCTAAAAACAATGAATTGGTGCTGGCATGGGTTAGAGGCAGTTTCCACCATGTTTCTTATACCAGGCAGTCCTTTCCTTTACAATGAGTGAAGGGAAGTGAACAAGTAGAAATGGAAGGAGAGATCATATTTGATGGAGGACTTGGGGGTTATGGACATGGGAAATGCTGTGGTATCACCAGTGATGGCACAGGCGTTCTGCAGCTAGCTCACAGTTACTTGAAAGACAGGGTGTATATAGGGACGGCAAGTCACCTAGCGGTAAAGAGGGCTAGTGTTGGCCCAATAACCGATATGTCGCTGGTTTGAATCCCCGGGCCGACTAGGTGAAAAATCTGTTGATGTGCCCTTGAGCAAGGCACTTAACCCTAATTGCTCATGTAAGTCGCTCTGGATAGTAGTGTCTGCTAAATGACGTTTATCCCTCTCTTGAGGTTATAAGCATCATATTTGATGTAGGTTATGGTGTGTGTGTGTTTGTCCCTCTCTTACTTGAGGTTATAAGCATCATATTTGATGGAGCTCTTGGGTGTGGCAGAAGTCATGTACAGGAAGCCCAGGTGAGGGTTGTTCCGGATGATTCTGACGATGTCCGGCGGGGAGCGTATTTTGGCACGGATCACTTCCTCTGCCGAGCTGAAGATGAGGGAGTGACTGGCTGGGAGAGGGGAGGGGGAGTGGAGGAAGGGGAAGGTGGGGGAGGGCTTTGTGGACTTGGAGGCGCGAGGGCGTTTGGGGGGAGAGGGGGAACACAGGGTCCTCTGGGTCATCTGAGCCTGGAGGGAGGAAGCAGTGACAGTCAGTTAGGCTTGTATTTATTTATTTGACTACTATGGGAAAGGATCATGAACAGTTGAAAGGGGACTTTGTCTCTTGACAAAAAAAAAGAGACAAGAGATTGATTGTGGACTGCTTTCTTCTGTGGCTCAAATGAGGTTGATGGAACTACTGGTTAAAACAGAACAAGAAAGACTATGAGGATAACAGTTGTCTGCCCTGTATCAGTCCACTGGGATTTCTCTCAGCTCGCCCCGGTCAGGAGGCTATAGGGAGGGCTAGTGACAGACAGAGCACAGCTCAGTATCTGACTCCCACTGTCTACAATCAATCATTTATTTCAGAACATGGCTGTATATCACTAGTGAAATCATGGTTAAGATCATCTTGACTTCAAATTAAACCATGTAAAATCTGCATGACGTCTGTCTGTCTGTCCAGCAGAGCCCTTCTCAGTCTCCCACCTGTTTCTCCTTGACGTGGTCAGGCAGCTCAGGGAGGTGGAGGGTGGAGCTCTGTCTGTCAGGGGCCATGTCCATCCACTCTACCCCAGCAAGGGAGGGCGAGTGTGGCTTCAAGCCCGACTGGCTCAGCCTCTCCCGGTTCTGCCTGCGGATGAACTCTGGCTGCTTGTGGTCCTGGTACTTCTTCAGGACCGGCTGAATGAGAGATGTTGTGTAAAAAGAGTAGTTTGTATGTGCCTATGGGGCAGTTGATGTCTGGGATGTTATGAGAACAAAGGCTGATATTTAGAAAACATTATTGTGCACCAACAGTGTTTACAGGTGGCTGGGTCCCCATATTCCTCTTTTTCACACAACCCTCCTTCCCCACCCACCAGTATCTCCAGCGGTACGGGTCTCTGCCCTGCCCTCCTGCGTTCCTGGCCCTTGGTGGTGTGGGTGAAGACCAGGGCGTCAGGGTTGCGTTGTGCCTGGCCCGGGGCTGCTGAGATCAGCCTGGCTCTCAGTGCCTCTGGGTCTACGTGGCCCAGGGACATGGCGAATGGGAGGGTCATCCTCTGCTGCCGGGCCCCAGCCACCTCCTCTGTCCCTGGGCCAGCCTGGCAGCGAGGGGAGCCCTTCTGGGAGAACGAAGACATGGTGGCCTCAGACTCTGACAGTCTGCCTCTCAGGGTCTGAGTGGATACTGTGGGGGTGGGGAAGGAGAGAGTACAAGGAGGGGGAGGTGGGGGAACGATAAGCTCTCCCTTTCGGTCTATCAACTCAAGTGTCAAAACAAACTACAGTAGCATGCAAGTCATCTTACGCATAACTAACATTTTAGTTGGTTAGCAACTTACCTGACAAGAGATAAACATTGCATAACGTTAAATCAAAACGTTCAAAACCAACATAGCAACATCCGCTAACGCGCTGACGGTTATATAAAGTGATATCACACCAAAGCATCAGTTTGGTTAACAGAAACGATGTGGCCTTAGCAATTTATAACTTATATTTCTGAGCAATTGAAGGTTTACTACTTACATACCTATCAAAGGCACTTTATCATAGACATTAGTAGAGAAACGACGGAAGCAAAAACATCAGCAACACTTATTTCGCCGGTTCTCCAGTCTCAAAAGTGGAAACAAACTGAGTTGACGGTTTCTTAGCAACAAGCACCTCTCAGCACACAGCGCAATCAACAGCTGTACAGGCGCGCATGTGTGTGCTTTGCAGAATAACTAAAATACCATTCATGTCCAAGGTTTCAGGGATTTTAAAACTAGGCAAAAATACCTGCACCCTACAATATAGTTTGTATAGCTAGATTCCCAACAGCACGCGGGCTGTCATACATCGTTTTTTTTCTCTCTCTTCATGGTAAAACTCTGGACCTCAAAGATGGGTTGCAGTTGAAAGTACACAAAGCAGCATTCCTGATATCGTCTTGATCCTGCAAAATTGAAACATACTATCCCAGTCTTACCTGAAAGAGCACTCACTCAACCACACACAAATTCCAACATGACCATAAACACCAGTGAATTAATTTAGTTAGTTTTTTCCCACCACAGAAAAGTGATTTTAAATACTTCCCAACAATGATCACAGAGAGTGAGTTTACATATTTCCTTATTCCCAACTATGACAACACCCAAGAAAATAATGTTTAATATTTCCCAACACAATGACCACAGAACGTTAATGTACATACAGTACTTCCTTATTTCCCAACAATGACAATAAAACACCCCAGAAAGATAATTGTAATATATTTTAATAACATAAGTCACAGTGAATGGTATAAATCCATAACAGACATTGGCATTTCTGTATAAATGGTTGGCAATGCACACAGCCAGGGATGGAAATTAAGCTAGCCAGAGGCTAGTACATTTCAGACTGGCTCGTAGAAAATGTGGCCAACTAGCCCAACGGCTAGTGAAATGTTCTTTAAATATCGCATGGCACAGCGGACCACTGGCCAAAATCCTTAAGGTCCAACCCTGCACACAGCTATAGAGACTCCAGGTCTGCCATGGACGCTGTTTTCCTTCTCTGTGACGTCATTATACTCAGCTGAAAGTGAAAGACATTTTTTTTTAAACGGGTGTGTTAGAAATAGTCAAAGCCAACAAGGTCCTCTCAATATAATAATATAATATGCCATTTAACAGACGCTTTTATCCAAAGCGACTTACAGTCATGCATGCATACATTTTTGTGTATGGGTGGTCCCGGGGATCGAACCCACTACCCTGGCGTTACAAGCACCGTGCTCTACCAGCTGAGCTACAGAGGACCAGGGCTTACTCAAAGATGGTGTCCATGAAGAATGCATTATATAGAACGGACAGGATTCTGTCATATAAAATAGGTAGACGTGTCATTTCAATCCGTGCAGCGTTCCAGTACTGCATCTCATATCAATAAGATCCAGGGTCGTATTCATTAGACACCAAACTTAGTAACACTGACTAAAACAGGGAGGGGCTACCTAAACCTGTCCAATTAACTCGTTTTAGTTTGTGTTGCACAACGTTTTCAACTGTTTTGCTACAGTGTGCCCAATAAATACGACCCTGTGGTGATATCAGACAACTGGCTGACATCACTGTACGCCTCACCCTGGCCCCAGTAGTAGGACCCCTAGTACCTGTTGTGATGCTGTAGTTGCCTTCTGTTCTGCCTGAGTCAAACGCCTCTGGAGACGACTGTTCTTCTCCTGATACTCTGCCATCTGCCTCTCGTACTAGACAAGAACGACGACATATTTCAACCCCAACAACAATATTGACACACTTCATCCCCTACTGGACCACAACAACAATATACTGACGTCACATTTCTTCATTATATGAATTATGATGCATGTTGCTATTGGTTTCAAGGTGTGAGGATTGTGTTGAATTCACGTAAGTAAAACAATTGTCTGTGTTCCTTTTTTATCTTCTATTAAAAAAAAAGGTGTGTGTTAGAATCACCTCTATGACGGTCTCGTGGTCAGTCTCCAGCTGGATCTCCAGTTCCTGACAACGTTGCTTCTGTCGATTCAGCTCACCCCTGAAACCAACAGACCTTATCATACATTTTAGTCATTTAGCAGACGCTCTTATCCAGAGCGACTTACATGAGCAATTAGGGTTAAGTGCCTTGCTCAAGGGCACATCGACAGATTTTTCACCTAGTCAGCTCGGGGATTAGAATCAGCGACCTTTCGGTTACTGGCACAACGCTCTTAACCACTAAGCTACCTGCCGCCCTAGTTGTAAACGACCAATCATCAAACACATACTTTATGCTTGTATGAAAACTCTTCCACTGTGTCAAACGGGGCCATTTGGGCCGTAGCTCTTCAATCGCTCCCTTCTACATTGTGTGTAGGAGGCTTGAAATGATGCTTCTACTGTGATGTGCAAAGAGAGAAAGCGCAAGAATAGCTTTTCATAATAAAAGCTCATTGTGTGTAGGAGGCTTGAAATGATGCTTCTACTGTGATGTGCAAAGAGAGAAAGAGCAAGAACAGCTTTTCATAATAAAAGTTCAAAGCAGAAATGTAAGATGTGAGCATCCTCTTACCAAACTGGTGAGTTTGTAAACCTGCTTGTATGGACACTGGGCTATCATGGTGGCATATCAGTAAGAACTTCAAATCACTGTTTATAAGGCATATATACACACACACGTGAACACAGTACATTGAACTAACTTGAGGCTGGTGAGTTTGGTGTGGAAGGCCAGGGTGAGGGTCTTGGCCTCTTCCTTCCAGCGCTGGGTGGTCTTCTGCTGGGCAGAGAGGAGGCGGGTCAGGTCAGCACTGGAGCTCCTACTGCTCTCCTCCAGCTCCCTGACCCGGGCATCCAGACCCTGCTCCTTTAGGGAATACTCCTGCTCCATCTGGGACACCTGGGGGAGGGGAGGGGGGGAAGTGAGGGTGGGTGTGTGTCTCCTACTTGACCTCCCCAACTGTTTAACCCTCATCTTGTTTACACCTTCCTCTCTACCTGCTAGACCTCTATCCCTCCTCCTCATCTCTCTCTACCTGCTAGACCTCTATCCCTCCTCATCTCTCTCTACCTGCTAGACCTCTATCCCTCCTCCTCATCTCTCTACCTGCTAGACCTCTATCCCTCCTCCTCATCTCTCTCTACCTGCTAGACCTCTATCCCTCCTCATCTCTCTCTACCTGCTAGACCTCTATCCCTCCTCCTCATCTCTCTCTACCTGCTAGACCTCTATCCCTCATCTCTCTACCTGTTAGACCTCCATCACTCCTCTCTCTCTACCTGCTAGACCTCTATCCCTCCTCCTCATCCTCTAACCTGCTAGACCTCTATCCCCTCCTCCTCATCTCTCTCTACCTGCTAGACCTCTATCCCTCTACCTGTTAGACCTCTATCACTCCTCTCTCTCTACCTGCTAGACCTCTATCCCTCCTCATCTCTCTCTACCTGCTAGACCTCTATCCCTCATCTCTCTACCTGCTAGACCTCTATCCCTCCTCCTCATCTCTCTCTACCTGCTAGACCTCTATCCCTCCTCCTCATCTCTCTACCTGTTAGACCTCTATCCCTCCTCCTCATCTCTCTCTACCTGCTAGACCTCTATCCCTCTACCTGTTAGACCTCTATCACTCTCTCTCTCTACCTGCTAGACCTCTATCCCTCCTCCTCATCTCTCTCTCTACCTGCTAGACCTCTATCCCTCCTCCTCATCTCTCTCTACCTGCTAGACCTCTATCCCTCCTACCTGTTAGACCTCTATCACTCCTCTCTTCTCTACCTGCTAGACCTCTATCCCTCCTCCTCATCTCTCTCTACCTGCTAGACCTCTATCACCCTCCTCATCTCCTACTGTTAACCTCTCCCTCCCCTCATCCTCTCTCTGTAGACCTCTCATCCTCCTCCTCATCTCTCTCTACCTGCTAGACCTCTATCCCTCCTCCTCATCTCTCTCTACCTGCTAGACCTCTATCCCTCCTCCTCATCTCTCTCACCTGCTAGACCTCTATCCCTCCTCCTCATCTCTCTCTACCTGCTAGACCTCTATCCCTCCTCCTCATCTCTCTCTACCTGTTAGACCTCTATCCCCTTCCTCCTTCATCCCCTCTCTAACCTGCTAGACCTCTATCCTCACTCTCTCTACGCTAGACCTCTATCCCCCTCTCTCCCCTACCTGCTAGACCTCTATCCCCCTCCTTCTTACAACCACACTCCTCTCTCTACCTGCTAGACCTCTATCCCTCCTCCTCATCTCTCTCTACCTGCTAGACCTCTATCCCTCCTCCTCCTCTCTCTACCTGCTAGACCTCTATCACTCCTCTCTCTCTACCTGCTAGACCTCTATCCCTCTCCTCTAGACCTTCCTCTCTCTCTCTACCTGTTAGACCTCTATCCCTCCTCCTCATTTTCTCTCTACCCCGCTAGACCTATCCTATCCCTCATCTCTCTACCTGCTAGACCTCTATCCCTCCTCTATTCCTACTGTTAGACCTCTATCACCTCCTCATCTCTCTACCTGTAGACCCATCCCTCTACTTCACCTCTCTCCTCTATCCCCTCTCTCTCTACCTGCTAGACCTCTATCCCTCCTCCTCATCTCTCTACCTGCTAGACCTCTATCCCTCCTCATCTCTCTCTCTACCTGCTAGACCTCTATCCCCTCCTCATCTCTCTACCTGCTAGACCTCTATCCCTCCTCATCTCTCTACCTGTCTTATACCTCTAACCTCTCCTCCTCTCATCTCTCTACCTGCTAGACCTCTATCCCTCCTCATCTCTCTACCTGCTAGACCTCTATCCCTCCTCATCCTCTCTACCTGCTAGACCTCTATCCCTCCTCCTCATCTCTCTACCTGCTAGACCTCTATCCCTCCTCATCCTCTCTACTACCTGCTACCCTCCTCTCCTCTCTACCTGCTAGACCTCTATCCCTCCTCATCTCTCTCTCTCTACCTGCTAGACCTCTATCCCTCCTCATCTCTCTACCTGCTAGACCTCTATCCCTCCTCATCTCTCTACCTGTTAGACCTCTATCCCTCCTCATCTCTCTCTACCTGCTAGACCTCTATCCCTCCTCCTCATCTCTCTCTACCTGCTAGACCTCTATCCCTCCTCCTCATCTCTCTACCTGCTAGACCTCTATCCTCCTCCTCATCTCTCTACCTGCTAGTCACCTCCCCTCCCTCACCTGTTAGACCTCTATCACTCCTCATCTCTCTACCTGCTAGACCTCTATCCCTCCTCATCTCTCTACCTGCTAGACCTCTATCCCTCCTCATCTCTCTACCTGCTAGACCTCTATCCCTCCTCCTCTCTGCTCTACCTGTTAGACCTCTATCCCTCCTCTCATCTCTCTACCTGTAGCCTCTATCCCTCCTCCTCACTCTCTCTCTACCTGTTAGACCTATCTCCTCCTCATCTCCTACTGTAGACCTCTATCCCCTCCTCATCTCTTAACTGTTAGACCTCTATCGTCCTCATCTCGTCACCTGTACACAGCCCATCTGAAATTAGCCCACCCAACTACCTCATTCCCTATATTGTTATTTATTTTTGCTCTTTTGCACCCCAGTATCTCTATTTGCACACAATCTCTTGCACATCTAGCATTCCAGTGTTAATACTAATTGTAATTATTTTGCACTATAGCCTATTTATTGCCTTACCTCCATAACTTGCTACATTTGGCACACACTGTATATATATTTTCTGTTGTATTTTTTTACCTTATGTTTTTTACCCCATATGTAACTCTTGTTGTTGTTTTTATCGCTCTGCTTTGCTTTATCTTGGCCAGGTCGCAGTTGTAAATGAGAACTTGTTCTCAACTGGCTTCCCTGGTTAAATAAAAGGTGAAATAAAAATAAAAGACCCTCCTCATCTCTCTCTACCTGCTAGACCTCTATCCATCCTCTCTCTCTGACTGGTGGTCTGGTTTTAGTTTACCTCATTGGCTCACCATCTCTCACAAATGTCACTTAGCCCTTACCTGTGTTCTACAGACTGGTCCTACCTGTTGTTTACCTCTTACCTGTGTTCTACAGACTGGTCCTACCTGTTGTTTACCTCGTCTCTGTTCTACAGACTGGTCCTCCTGTTTACCTCTTACCTGTGTTCTACAGACTGGTCCTACCTGTTGTTTACCTCTTACAGTGGGGGAAAAAAGTATTTAGTCAGCCACCAATTGTGCAAGTTCTCCCACTTAAAAAGATGAGAGGCCTGTAATTTTCATCATAGGTACACGTCAACTATGACAGACAAATTGAGAAAACAAATTCTCCAGAAAATCACATTGTAGGATTTTTTATGAATTTATTTGCAAATTATGGTGGAAAATAAGTATTTGGTCACCTACAAACAAGCAAGATTTCTGTCTCTCACAGACCTGTAACTTCTTCTTTAAGAGGCTCCTCTGTCCTCCACTCGTTACCTGTATTAATGGCACCTGTTTGAACTTGTTATCAGTATAAAAGACACCTGTCCACAACCTCAAACAGTCACACACACCAAACTCCACTATGTCCAAGACCAAAGAGCTGTCAAAGGACACCAGAAACAAAATTGTAGATCTGCACCAGGCTGGGAAGACTGAATCTGCAATAGGTAAGCAGCTTGGTTTGAAGAAATCAACTGTGGGAGCAATTATTAGGAAATGGAAGACATACAAGACCACTGATAATTTCCCTCGATCTGGGGCTCCACGCAAGATCTCACCCCGTGGGGTCAAAATGATCACAAGAACGGTGAGCAAAAATCCCAGAACCACACGGGGGGACCTAGTGAATGACCTGCAGAGAGCTGGGACCAAAGTAACAAAGCCTACCATCAGTAACACACTATGCCGCCAGGGACTCAAATCCTGCAGTGCCAGACGTGTCCCCCTGCTTAAGCCAGTACATGTCCAGGCCCGTCTGAAGTTTGCTAGAGTGCATTTGGATGATCCAGAAGAGGATTGGGAGAATGTCATATGGTCAGATGAAACCAAAATATAACTTTTTGGTAAAAACTCAACTCGTCGTGTTTGGAGGACAAAGAATGCTGAGTTGCATCCAAAGAACACTATACCTACTGTGAAGCATGGGGGTGGAAACATCATGCTTTGGGGCTGTTTTTCTGCAAAGGGACCAGGACGACTGATCCGTGTAAAGGAAAGAATGAATGTGGCCATGTATCGTGAGATTTTGAGTGAAAACCTCCTTCCATCAGCAAGGGCATTGAAGATGAAACGTGGCTGGGTCTTTCAGCATGACAATGATCCCAAACACACCGCCCGGGCAACGAAGGAGTGGCTTCGTAAGAAGCATTTCAAGGTCCTGGAGTGGCCTAGCCAGTCTCCAGATCTCAACCCCATAGAAAATATTTGGAGGGAGTTGAAAGTCTGTGTTGCCCAGTGACAGCCCCAAAACATCACTGCTCTAGAGGAGATCTGCATGGAGGAATGGGCCAAAATACCAGCAACAGTGTGTGAAAACCTTGTGAAGACTTACAGAAAACGTTTGACCTGTGTCATTGCCAACAAAGGGTATATAACAAAGTATTGAGAAACTTTTGTTATTGACCAAATACTTATTTTCCACCATAATTTGCAAATAAATTCATTAAAAATCCTACAATGTGATTTTCTGGATTTTTTTTTCTCATAGTTGACGTGTACCTATGAAGTAAATTACAGGGCTCTCATCTTTTTAACTGGGAGAACTTGCACAATTGGTGGCTGACTAAATACTTTTTTTCCCCACTGTATCTGTGTTCTACAGACTGGTCCTACCCGTTTACCTCGTCTCTGTGTTCTACAGACTGGTCCTACCCGTTTACCTCGTCTCTGTGTTCTACAGACTGGTCCTACCTGTTTACCTCGTCTCTGTGTTCTACAGACTGGTCCTACCCGTTTACCTCGTCTCTGTGTTCTACAGACTGGTCCTACCTGTTTACCTTGTCTCTGTGTTCTACAGACTGGTCCTACCTGTTTACCTCGTCTCTGTGTTCTACAGACTGGTCCTACCTGTTTACCTCGTCTCTGTGTTCTACAGACTGGTCCTACCTGTTTACCTCGTCTCTGTGTTCTACAGACTGGTCCTACCTGTTTACCTCGTCTCTGTGTTCTACAGTTCGTCTATCTCCCTGTCCTTCCTCTACCCTCATCCATCCCTCCCTCCTGTTCATACTGTATCCAGTCTAGTCTTAAAGGTTGCTAACCAGGTAGTCTCACCTGCTGTTTAGCTCTCCTCTGGGTCATCATGCTAGCCTTGCGCAGCTCCTCCATCTCCCTGCGGAGCTGCATGTTCTCCTGCTGCAGCTGGAGCCGCTCCTCGCTGACCCCGCTGCAGTCCTCCCTGGCTGCAGACAGAGACCCCTGCAGCCGCAGCACCTCCTCCTGGCACCGGGATAACTCCTCACTGTAGCTGTGGGGGGGGAGAGAGAGAAAGAAAGAGAGAGAGAGAGGGCATTTAGATTACCATGTACTGTAAACACTTGAGTCCAGACAAATCAACAGTCAGCCTAAAAACCACACTTGATAGCTGAACACAGTCTGCGCTGACTAAGCAGACAGAAATATGTCTCATCCCCACTCACTCCATCTCCATTTTCTTCATCTTGTTGTGTGTGCTCTGCAGGGTGATGTTCATGTCGTCCTTCAGTCTCTCAGCATTCAGAGACCTCTGGTGGAGGGCCTCCATCTTCCTGTACTCTGGCTCTCCTCTACCCTCCTTATACACCTGGAGTAGAGATGACATAGGAACAGGTTATAATGCATTATAATGCTTCATACCCTGCATTCCCTATAGAAAGTTATTTATCCACCTGTAGGAATGCATGATCCACTTTTGTAAGACTAAAACAATAGTATGACTTCTTTCCAGTTCCTCCTCCACTCCACTCCCCCCCTCACCTTTTCCAGTACCCCTCCCTCCACTCCCCCCCCTCAACCCTTTTCCAGTTCCTCCTCCACTCCCCCCTCACCTTTTCCAGTTCCTCCTCCACTCCCCCCCCCTCCTTTCCAGTTCCTCCTCCACTCCCCCCTCACCTTTCCAGTTCCTCCTCCACTCCCCCCCCCTCACCTTTTCCAGTTCCTCCTCCACTCCCCCCCCCTCACCTTTCCAGTTCCTCCTCCACTCCCCCCTCACCTTTTCCAGTTCCTCCTCCACTCCCCCCCCCCCTCCCCTTTCCTTTCCCCCCCCCCCCCCTCACCTTTCCTCCCCCTCACCTTTTCCAGTCCCCCCCCTCACTTTTCCAGTCCTCCTCCCTCACCTTTCCAGTTCCTCCTCCCTCCAGTTCCTCCCCACTACCCCCCCTCACCTTTTCCAGTTCCTCCTCCACCCCCCCCCTCACCTTTTCCAGTTCCTCCTCCACTCCCCCCTCACCTTTTCCAGTTCCTCCTCCACTACCCCCTCACCTTTTCCAGTTTCCTCTCCACTCCCCCCTCACCTTTTCCAGTTCCCCCCCCCTCCACATTTTCAGTTCCCCCCCCCCCCTCCACCTTTTCCAGTTCCTCCTCCATACCCCCACCTTTTCCAGTTCCTCCTCCACTCCCCCCCCCTCACCTTTTCCAGGTTCCTCCCCCCCCCTCACCTTTTCCAGTTCCTCCTCCACTGCCCTCCTCCTCCCCAGGACCTCTCCATCTGAGGACTCTTTATCTGCACACTCCAGTTGTTAGAGCCGACAACTCCTCAGCCATCCGATGGATCTGTGAGTTGCACTGTTTACGCACATTCTCCACCTGAAAGAAACACAATCCAGAACAACTCAATAATACTTGAATGAACAACAGATTGAGCAATTAGAATATGTGGGATGTATACTGTCTCTGCACAAAAAAGTATATTCTGTAAGTCACGCTTTTCAGAGGGAAATGCAGAGAGGTGCACCCCTGGTTTCACCACATAGAAACACACTGCAGCTTGTCAGTCTATGCTATATCAGTGCACGTCTAGATTTAGACCTGTGTCTGACAGCCTGGTGAAGGCTAGGCTAACATTAACAGGCTTAGGGAGTTAGGTCTTAATCAACAGCCATTAATAGATTGGTAATCAGTCTCTCTAGTAAAGAGCCAGGCAGAGTCAGAACAGTGAGTTCCTCAAGGAAAAGGCTATACGGACACTACTGACCTACAAACCCATAATTCATTTCAGAATTGGTTAAAATTAGGTTAGGGTTAAAGGTTTGGTTAAGGGTCAGTTTTCAATTGAGATTAGTAGGTTTACAGGTCAGCAGTGTCCTTATAGTCTCTCCCATTCCTCCTCTGAGAACACAGCATCAAGAGAGAACATGGTGAGGAGGAAGCAGCTCCGTTCCTCCTCTGAGAACACAGCATCAAGAGAGAACATGGTCAGGAGGAAGCAGCTCCGTTCCTCCTCTGAGAACACAGCATCAAGAGAGAACATGGTCAGGAGGAAGCAGCTCCGTTCCTCCTCTGAGAACACAGCATCAAGAGAGAACATGGTCAGGAGGAAGCAGCTCCGTTCCTCCTCTGAGAACACAGCATCAAGAGAGAACATGGTCAGGAGGAAGCAGCTCCGTTCCTCCTCTGAGAACACAGCATCAAGAGAGAACATGGTCAGGAGGAAGCAGCCTAACAGGTTGAGGTAGTAGTGTACTGGTGATGTAGTATTGAGATAATGATACACTATGGTAAGGGGTTGGAGATTAGATTAGGGTTAGACAGGGTTGATCATGATGCTGGGACTAGGGTTAGACAGGGTTGATCATGATGCTGGGACTAGGGTTAGACAGGGTTGATCATGATGCTGGGACTAGGGTTAGACAGGGTTGATCATGATGCTGGGACTAGGGTTAGACAGGGTTGATCATGATGCTGGGACTAGGGTTAGGGTAGAGTTTGAGGTGAGAACTTTGGTAGGCATTTTGAAAAAGGAGTTGAGAGACTCACCTCTTTCCTTGTGCGTATGGCAGCGTCCTGGATCAGTTGTCTGATGGCTTCATTCATCTTGTCCAGCTCCTCAGATTTCTGTTTCTCTCTCAACAGGGCCTGAAAGGGAGATACATACCCATCATCTTCACCACCAGAGTTACACTAAATGACAGACAGTCCCTGACCGGACAGAGAAGGAAGGGGTAGAGAGGGGGGTTGTCTGACCTGGTCCAGAGAAACAGACCGTAGCAGTAGAAGATGTACCTGATCCTTCTGTAGCGAGGCCTCCTCAGCCAGCTGGATGGAGTCTCTGACCTTGGAGAAGGCCTCGTAGCGGTCGTCCTCCAGAGAGGCACAGCGCACCTGCAGCTCCCCCACCTGACGGGTACACCTCATTATACCCCCCGCTATTTAGCTCCATCACCTTGTAAATACCAGGTCAACACTTGTTAAAACAGGGATGTCTGAAACTAAAGTGTTCCCCACCTGCCTCTCCCACACCACCTGCTCCCTGCGTACACTCTCTGCCTCCTGACTAGCTGCCGTCAACCTGCAGGAGACAGAAAGGGTTAGCAAAAGGAAAAAGGTAGAAGGAATTGAAGAGAGATGCACTCAGCCTCCTGTGGAAGAGTCAGGAAGAGGAAGTGGAGTGAGGATTACAGCTGTGTCACCTGGCCTCTAGCTGGCTGAGGGCTGACTGGAGATGGTGGAGTCTTCGATCTGAGGCTTCCTCTCTACCGTGAGCCTCTGCTGCATCGTCCTCCTACACACACACAAAGGGACTGAGGTTATATTCTGCTATGGTAAACTATGGTAGAGAACTAGAAGCCCTCCTGTTTTCCTACCCGTCTCTGTATCTGGTCCTGGACGTTCTGCAGCAGCTTGGTCATCTCCTCCACCTTGGCTGTGGCCATCCTCAGATCTGCTTTGGCCTGTCTGCAGTAGGAGTGGAAAGAGAGAAATAAATCAACCTTGCTCTCTGCAGTAGCACTACCTGAACTGTGCAGCAGCTGAAGATCTACCTTCCTGGGAGCCACTTTGGATCTAAAAGTAGGAGCCATTTTGGATCCAAAAGTAGGGGCCATTTTGGGTCTAACCAGGAGGCCATTTTGGATCTGCAGTAGTGTGTACCTGAGCTGGATGCGTAGCTCCTCCATCTCAGTGCTCTGTTCCGTCAGCGTCTTCAGGAACTGCTGGTTGGTCTGAGTGTGGCACGAGAGACACGCGCGCCGGTGAGGCATGATGGCTTCAATACACACACACACCATTCACTTCTTACACACACACAAACACTAAACGTCTCACAAACACCAAATGACACACACACACACTCCTCACACTACAATACTTGGTAGACAGAAAGAGAGAGAGGAAAGCCCTTGCCTCACCCCTCATTAAACATGTATAAGATGGATACATGACTCTCTTCAGAAGCAGAAGGTAGGTGTGTGAGGTAAACCTGTACTGTAATATTAGTTTAGAGGCAAGTCTCTCTCTCCTATCAGTCTGTCTAGAAGAGCCAGTTAGCGGGCCAGTGAGTAAGGACGGGAGAATGACTGAGTGTGGTGTTGTGTGTAACAAGCATGGGCAAAGCAAAGGGATTAGGCTACTCCCTGTCCGCAGGCATTACGCAACACTGACTGACTGTTCTAGTTAGTGTTTGATATGTTCTAGCCATGTGTAAAACAGCTTCCTCATTTACCAAAGACCTTTTCCATAATGACCCAATATTCTACATTCTATATCCCAACAATATTCTGATGATACACAAATATTTGACTTAGTGATTGGCTGAAACTTACCGATTCCAGTTTCTGATTGGTGACTTGGAGTTTCTGGATGTGCTGTTGGAATTGGATCAGTTGATCCTATGACAAAATAATAAGGGCGGGGTTAATGACAACTTCCCTTACATCACTTCCTCTTAAATAATGACATCGAATTAATCATAAACTATGGACACAAAGTAAAACTCAAAGCTTGTACTAACTTCTAACATTACAGAGGTTTAGAAGCAGCAACGATCAGCTACCCTCATTGACCTCAATGGGAGCGGGATGAAATCCATAACAATGCTGCCCTCTGGGGGCCAAACTGGGGAAGGCCTACCTTGAGGCGCTGTCGCTCGGCAACATGGAGCTGTCCGTCAGAGGTGGTTCTCTGGTAGAGCTGCTGTAACCGGTCCAGCTCCTGGGCTGATGCCTGCCACAGCTCCATGGCCTGGTCTCGCTCCTACACACAAACACACCTTTACATATATACACACACTACATTTAGTCACTTAGCATACGGTCTTATCCAGAGTGCCTTAGTCAGCGCATTCTATTAATGCAGGTAACACACAAACCCACCATACCACATTTAAACACACACCATATCACATTTAAACACACACCATACCACACACGTTGCGGTGTTTAGTCTAACCTGTACAGAGAGCTGGATCTGTTCCTGTAGGTTGTTGATGAGCCCCTCGTCCCCCAGTGTGTCCCCCTCCACCCCTGGCCCTGTACTGCCTGGGAGGGTCTGCAGCTGCCTCTCTACTGACTCCCTCAGCTCAGCATGCAGCCTGGATGGGAGACGGCAACATACACACCATTTAGGGACCTCATTTATGTAAAAAAAGGGAGCAGCATGCTGTGGTCTTAGTACTGAAGTTGATACCGTACCGTTCATTCTCCTTGACCACCCTGTCCAGCTTCAGTTTGACCTCCGTCATCTGCATCTTGTGGTTCAAATTGTGAAGTAAAGATTAATCTCCATCACTTTAGAAATAGATTGTAGACAATCATAAAATATCTCCATTGTAAACACAATCCTTTCATTTTATTGTAGTCAAATTCCAAAAGATGAATGAACAAACAGAACGATAATTTTGATAAATCTTCACCTGGTAGCGCTGCAGTTGTTCAGTCATGTCATCCATATGACGGTCATACTCTGATAGGAGAGGAACCATTATACTGCAACACAACAAACCACAACACTGGAATCACCTTTATCAGATTGCACCACAACCACAACACTGGAATCACCTATATAAAAGACTGGACCACAACACCGGAATCACCTATATCAGACTGGACCACAACACCGGAATCACCTATATCAGACTGGACCACAACACCGGAATCACCTATATCAGACTGGACCACAACACCGGAATCACCTATATCAGACTGGACCACAATCACAACACTGGAATCACCTTTATTAGACTGGACCACAACACTGGAATCATCTATATCAGACTGGACCACAACACTGGAATCACCTATATCAGACTGGACCACAACACCGGAATCACCTATATCAGACTGGAATCACTAATCAGAACTGGACCCACAAACACCGGAATCACCTATATCAGACTGGACCACAATCACAACAACTTGGAATCACCTTTATAGACTGGACCACAACACTGGAATCACCTATATCAGACTGGACCACAACACCTGGAATCACCTATATCAGACGGACCACAACACCGGCGGAATCACCTATATCAGAGCTGGGACCAACAATCACAACACTGGAATCACCTTTATTAGACTGGACCACAACACTGGAATCATCTATATCAGACTGCAAACACAATCAGCAACACTGGAATCACCTTCATCAGACTGGAACACAATCACCTTCACCAGACTGGAACACAATCACAACACTGGAATCACCTATATCAGACTGCAACACAATCACAACACTGGAATCACCTTCATCAGACTGGAACACAATCACCTTCACCAGACTGGAACACAATCACAACACTGGAATCACCTATATCAGACTGGAACACAACCACAACACTGGAATCACCTATAGCAGACTGGACCACAACACTGAATCACCTTCATCAGACTGGAACAACACAACACTGGACACCTTATCAGACGACCACTGGAATCACCTTATCAGACTGGAACACAACCACAACACTGGAATCACCTTATCAGACTGGAACACAACCACAACACTGGAATCACCTTATCAGACTGGAACACACCAAACACTGGAATCACCTTATCAGACTGGAACACAACCACAACACTGGAATCACCTTCATCAGACTGGAACACAACCACAACATGGAATCACCTTCATCAGACTGGACCAACAAACACTGGAATCACCTTATCAGACTGGAACACAATCACAACACTGGAATCACCTTATCAGACTGGACCACAACACTGGAATCACCTTCATCAGACTGGAACACAATCACAACACTGGAATCACCTTCATCAGACTGGAACACACACAACACTGGAATCACCTTATCAGACTGGAACACACACAACACTGGAATCACCTTCATCAGACTGGAACACACAACACTGGAATCACCTTCATCAGACTGGAACACAACCACAACACTGGAATCACCTTCATCAGACAGGAACACAACCACAACACTGGAATCACCTTCATCAGACTGGAACACAACCACAACACTGGAATCACCTTCATCAGACAGGAACACAACCACAACACTGGAATCACCTTCATCAGACTGGAACACAACCACAACACTGGAATCACCTTCATCAGACTGGACTGACCTATTGGTAATTTGTCAGACACTTATCCAGAGCAACTTACAGTCAATGAATTCAACTAAGGTGGGTAAGACAACCACATATCACAGTCACTGTAAGTAAACTTTTTTATTTTATATTTAACACTACGGACCTATATAATTGTCCAAATCTAGATATTGGGACTCAGATCGTTCAAGTTGTCTAGTGACCCACCAAATAAACAACAATGGTTCTAAAAACAGTAGTGTAATTGTGAATAGGCATATGGCCGAGGACATTGCAACGAAAAGCTGAACTTCGCTAACACTAGCCCTGCTGATGTAAAAAGTTATAGACCAACCAAACTTTATGGTTTTCTTCCAGTCAAGAGTTAAACATCAGCCTTATCACTGTAATAAAGATGCAGAGGGATGACAGAGAACACATCTACGCTGTTACATTACAGAGATTCAAAAGTCTCCTTGCATCGCTAGTCAGTACAGGTGAGCGTCTATTACTTCTAGTCTAAGGAACAGGTATCACTTGTTGTTGGTACTATGAGGTTTATCATATTTTAACATCTTTGAATGTGCTGTAGATCTGAGCTCGACATCTTTTGCAACATGGGTGTAGAAAGTCTCCAGACGGATGGTGAGAAATGGTCTTCCATGTCCAATTTAATTGTACTGTATATAGCAGTCAAGTGTTGCAACAGTAAAGGCACTGATCATCATGGTTGACATCTTGCTGTTTGTTCTCATCATTAGGAGAAGAGGGCGGGGAGAAGAAGAAAAAGTGGACATTCATCATTTCCTTCGTTAGTGTCGTGTCAATATTGGTTTTGACCGTTGGTCTTTACTTCGGACTGGTGTTGAAACAGGTAGCCTCCCCTCAGCAAAACACAACCTTAAAACATTAAGCGCCTGGAACATGGGCAGCATCCTAAATGGCCCCCTATTCCACTACTTTTCCCCAGAGCCCTATGGGTGGTGCACTGATGAAAAAGTAGTGCACTATTTTGTGAATAGGGAGCCATTTAGGACACACACATCGGGCATCAGTTCCTAAAGATGGCCGTGTCCCTGTTGGGTGACACAGCGGGGCTCAGGTTGTTCCTCTCCTCTTACCTCCGGTCAGAAAGCCAGGGGGCAGGTGTCTCTGCGTGTCTCGCCTCCTCACCCTGCAAAAAAAAAACAGACCATTTAGAACGCTCTCAGGTCTGACTCCTAGTGCTACTCATATAGGGCGCGGTCGTAAATTCACTCTGGCTATCTACTCCGATTTCAGAGCACTCTCGTCTGAGTGTGCCAGAGCGCAGAATAACTGATGAATTTACGAACGCTCAACACCCGTTGAATATGGCCGGTGTCAGTAATCCTCAGCAAAAAAGCGTAATTAAATTGTTGCCAGCAGCACAGTTACAGTCACCAACGCTCTGGATAACATGAAAACAGCCTAATCAGCTCTGCTAGGGTGAGAAAAATGGTCAGAGCGAGCTGTTCTCTCATTTATGTCTCGAAGTAGTTAGCAAGATAGCTAACTTTAGCCAGTTAGCTTGGGTGCTTGACTGCCATTGTGAGGCCAGAATGCTCAGATCAACCATACTCCTGGGCCTGAGCGTCCAGTGTGCGCTCTGAAACGCTCTGAATTTAGGAACGTACAATCTGACAATGTTCTGAATTTACAAAACGCCCAGAGCGCACTGAGCGCTCTCTGGCACTCCAGAGTGAATTTACGAACGCACCCATAATCAGAATTAATCAGATGGATTTTCTCTTATCAAAACACTTTCACACCATACAGTACCTGTGGTGCTAACGTGGCTTGAGAGCGGTGTCCATCTTGATAGTGACTCAAGGCAGAGTTCAGCCTTTGGACTGCAATGATAAATACAGTATGAAATCAGATGCTAAACAATAACATTTATTTATTTATATATATATATATATATATATTATGAAAAGGGTAGTGGCTAGCTGCAATGCAACCAACATCATTTTGACATTGTGCTGGACTCCTTCAAAAGTATCTTGGTTGCATCGCAGCTAGGCTGTGGCTAATATGGATATGACAAAAGACTAGTAGCTAGTATTCAGGAAATATCCAATGTACCTTGATCACGCAAAAACTCGACTTCATTGGACATCTTGCAATGAATCTACACAAGAAAAGACCGCACATATTAGTTGACAACAAGAGCTAGATAGATAGCTATATCTTCCGTAAACCAGATATGCCCTCTTTCTTGCTAGTTACTAACTTAGCTATAAACACAACACAGGCTTGCACAATCAACAGGTGATTTACAAAAGATTAGGGGAATACGATAGTTGATTTGCTGGGCGAGCCCTTGTCAAGACCCTGAAAAACAACGATGTTGTTTAATGTTTACTGATAGCTAGCGGGTTACTAGGCGTAACTAACAAGCTACAGCAACTAGCTAATCTAATTTTGAGTCAGCAGGCACCGATTGCTGTGATATCGTGAGCGACAACCATTTCGAAGGGTAAAAAAAATAGCTTTTCGCTTGCACATATCACGTAATCTGACCAAATAGTGTGGCTACAAACTATACGATTAAGTGTGCTATGTGCAATTCCATTTTTACACCAAAGCAAACAAATTAAACTAACCTTTTAATTTGTCGATAATCCATCCGCCGTCGATTTGAAGAGAGCAAACAGCTGAGGGCACAGCTGAGAGCCAATCAAAATAAAGAGGTGCAACCTCGTATTCTGCCCCCATAAATTAGAAACATACAAATAGTTCCACCTATTTCTTAGAACACAGTTTAAACCTAGCATAAATCCATTTTAGATTAGATATGAAACGCCATTTCAATATGTAAACAAATGTACTTCGAGGCTGTTGTACTGGGTTGCGTGCCAACTGATTCCGTAATTACGCCACCCAAGAACATCTGATAGGAAAGAGCTATCATCATATGATCATACCAGGAAGTTGATACTCTATAGAAAGTGCATTATCTCTTTGGCATGAGCTACTGTATGTCTTTTGATAACAAGCTAAATATATAGCCGTTACATCAGCGCGCAACTGGATTCCTCCTCTTACAAAGTAAGTAACGTTAGCCTTCCTATCAGTCACGATCCACCGCTCTTGGACATCGGTCTCGCTAAAAGCGGCTATCTTCCTCTATGTACTTACTTGCGCAGAACTTAAAATGGTAAGTTTTGTACCATTTTAATTGGTTCCAAATTACTGCATTGTGCCATACTTATGCGGCTACTACAAATAACACTGCTCTTGGACTACCATGCTGACATAAATTTGCAGGGCAGGTTCATTGTAGCCTCGTCTCGGATGTATTAGTAGGCAAGAACATTTCATGTTTTTAGTTGTATCAAAATCAATAAATCAAAGCACGTTTTTGGGCTCATTCAGTAGTTTTTACGTGATTAAGTAGAATCCTGTTGAAAATAATATTTTTTAATAATATATTCCTAAATCATAAATTGGAAATGATACTGTTGCTGTTTCAAGGGGTGTATTCATTACGGAAACCGTTTACCGTTTAAGAACCAAACGGAAGCAAACAGGGGTGTAATCATTAGCCAAAGTTGAACGAGAGTTTCTATTGGACAAATTCAGGTAGGTCCCTCCGTTTCGTTCCGTTTGCTTCCATTTAAGAAACGTTCTGCAACAGACTCGGCGTAATGAATATGCCCCTGTTGTCATCGATTTTAGATGTATAGCCCAGTGTCAAAACACCCGTTTAAAATGTCCATATTCATAATCATGATATGCTGAAATAGGTTGTGATATTTGAAGACCAAACATACAAATTACTCCCTACACACGTGTCACACTTACATTTAGCTGAATTGGAAAACAGAAATTCATTAGCTTGTTCTACTGTAATCAATAGTGCGCGCAAATTAATCACTCACATCGATATTGTATGGAAATCAATGGAACTGGGACAATAACCGCGGCGACATGTAACGTTTGCGCTCTTCTAAAACACAAACCACAACGAACTTGGATATACAACATAGACCTGTCCATGTAGTAGCCATATATCAACTAATCTCCTTGTGCGACAGTGTTTACAAATATTTCTATAACTAACCCAAGAGAGACCACAGCCTGTCGTTTCCTAAGGGAGCAAATTAATCAGTGGGCAGAACAAGCAAAGAGGTGGACAGAGCCAAACACGAGCTAACGAGAGCCTATTGGCGCGTTCTAGCATATTTTCGTTAGGGAACGCCTACTTTGTGAAGTGCGCGTTTGCAATAAGTAAAGTCGCCCCTGCACTCCTTATAAACAACGCAATTTTCAGAAACGTTGGTAAAGTACACAAAACTTAGTCCACTCTGTTCGTCACAGATTTAATTTTTGGAAACAAAAAACTTTATTGAGATCAAATGTTTCATCAATGAGAAAATTAGCAGAATGTCGGCCAAAATCCATCTCGCGCAATCTTCTCCCTTTGCCGGCCACTGGGCTTCCATTTGGTAGTGAGTGGAAACGCCAACCGGATGCTTCACATTTATACATCCGGTGAAACGTCTCATTTTATTTTTATTTTTTATTGTTGTGATTTTATATATGTCTCATTGTTCTATCTGTGATACTTCTTCTTCTATGATATAATGGCGGTCCGCAAACAAATGTTTAAGGTGCATGCCGCCACCTACTGTGCTGGAGTGTGGTCAATCACGGTTTACAACATTAGCTCCACATTTCTAATTCCTCCTACCTAACTCAGTACTTCTGACAAAATAAAAAAAAGCCCTACTAACTTCTGAAAGACCCTCCACTATCCCCCAAACCTCCTCAATCTTTCCCTCTCTTCAACATACTTACAACAATATAACAACACATGCTCCACCGTTTCATCGACCATACACTCCAGACACAAACCATTCGCATGCGTGCCAATGACGAGGCGCAATCGAGTAAACACCACCTCTTCCTTCCTAATCTGTCCTTTAATCTTGGTCCACCGACCTTTCTTTGCAGGACATATATAAATCCCATCTCTTCTGCCACACATCTATCAAAATGGCTCTGATCTTACATTTGGCTGCACCTCTACCCAATAGAACATAAATATCAATCATATCTCATTTTAAAGCTCTACAATTTATTTACCTTGCACACCCGAATGGGCTGGGAACCAGCAGAATGTCACTACTACACCCAGTCTCTCGATTCGTCATAATAACATGAATGCCTCCAATAGTAGGTCACTCCTATTATTTTTAGTCATTTACTAGACGCTCTTATCCAGAGCGACTTACAGGAGCAGTTAGGGTTAAGTGCCTCTCTCAAGGGCACATCGACAGATTTTTCACCTAGTCGGCTCTGGGATTAGAACAAGCAACCTTTCGGTTACTGGCACGACGCTCTTAACCACTAAGCTACCGGCCACCCCCTATTAGGTTTGTTAGATGATAAACTATTCAACACAGACAGGGAATCTGAGCATACTATAATTCTGACCGGCTGAGCGTCCTCCACCCACTGGAGGGCCCACAGTATTTACAGTAGATGGCCAATCAGAAAAGGGAAACAACACTTTTTTGACTGGATAATTTCAACGAATCGTCACCTCACCGGTAGTTCTACATAGTGACAGGGCTTTACTGTCTTTGGTGATAGCTTGACTGTCTTTGGCTTTACTGTCTTTGGTGATAGCTTGACTGTCTTTGGCTTTACTGTCTCTGGTGATAGCTTGACTGTCTTTGGCTTTACTGTCTTTGGTGATAGCTTGACTGTCTTTGGCTTTACTGTCTTTGGTGATAGCTTGACTGTCTTTGGCTTTACATGTCTTTGGTGATAGCTTGACTGTCTTTGGCTTTACTGTCTTTGGTGATAGCTTGACTGTCTTTGGCTTTACTGTCTCTGGTGATAGCTTGACTCTCTTTGGCTTTACTGTCTTTGGTGATAGCTTGACTGTCTTTGGCTTTACTGTCTTTGGTGATAGCTTGACTGTCTTTGGCTTTACATGTCTTTGGTGATAGCTTGACTGTCTTTGGCTTTACATGTCTTTGGTGATAGCTTGGCTGTCTTTGGCTTGACTGTCTTTGGTGATAGCTTGACTGTCTTTGGCTTTACATGTCTTTGGTGATAGCTTGACTGTCTTTGGCTTTACATGTCTTTGGTGATAGCTTGGCTGTCTTTGGCTTGACTGTCTTTGGCGATAGCTTGACTGTATCCATGTATAAACTGTTCAATGTCCTGTGATGTATGATAAAATAAACGATACCAAACCAAATATATTAATCTGTTTAAAGCAATCGATTTAGTATAATCTTGATGACTGTAAACGTGTATATTAACATCACCAATCTGAGGTTAAAAGGATGTGTAATTCCACTCAATTTATGTGGTGAAAATGCAGGCTTGTGTAAGATAGTAACACAAACTGTCCACATTAGGGGTAATTAGCACAATATAAAATAATTGAATATGACAAAATCAAAACCTATTGCAACAATTACACCTAGTTCTCACTCAATTAACCATTTTAGTGAGTTAGAAAATGCTCTCAAACACAATTTAACCTCCATAGTTAAATTTAGCCTCCATAGCTACATTTAGCCTCCATAGTTACATTTAGCCTCCATAGCTACATTTAGCCTCCATGGCTACATTTAGCCTACATAGTTCCATTTAGCCTCCATAGCTACATTTAGCCTCCATAGTTACATTTAGCCTCCATAGTTACATTTAGCCTCCATAGCTACATTTAGCCTCCATAGCTACATTTAGCCTCCATAGTTACATTTAATGCGTCTCAACCATTGACTTCAGCATCTTACAGTTGCACAACCATATGATAATGCATAGCTACTACGGGCCTCCTGTAGCTCAGTTGGTAGAGCATGGCGCTTGCAACGCCAGGGTTGTGGGTTCGATTCCCACGGGGGGCCAGTATGAAAAATGTATGCACTCACTAACTGTAAGTTACTCTGGATAAGAGTGTCTGCTAAATTACTAAAATGTAAATTTAGCCTCCATAGTTCCATTTAGCCTCCATAGTTACATTTAGCCTCCATAGTTCCATTTAGCCTCCATAGTGTCTATGCAGCAGCCTGAATATTTGAGGTCCCTAGTTTTAGTGCTGCTGTCAACTCCTGCACTAATAGTCAAGCCCAGGAATGAACATGATATCACAAACAGATCTGGGACTAGGCTATGGGTCTTTACACAGCATAGTCTAATCCCATTGTGAATACCTAACAATAAAACCCATAACCAATCCTTCTCTCTCTCAGACTGAGATGGAGTTTGTGATCAGCACCACATGGGACAGCCATCCTGTGGATCATGACCCTGTGAAGGTGACGTTTTTACCCGGGGATGGAGGGATGACGATGCAGGTGTCTGCTCCCTTCTTCAACGACCCCCCGGGTCCCTCAGGCCCTCCAGGACAGCCCTTCCCTGGCCTCTGGGACTATGAAGGTGGGTAGAGAGAGAGAGAGAACAGGACAGCCCTTCCCTGGCCTCTGGGACTATGAAGGAGGGTAGAGGGAGAACAGTGGTGGTTTATCCTAGTCGTGGGGGTAATTAACATAATCATAACTTTTACTACCATAATAATTTATCTTTGATTGCTCGTTTTTAATGTTGTTTGTGGCCATTTTCCCCCCCCAGTCATCCTAGGCACAACAAGATGGTTTTGAATGCATATAATATAACACTTTTTAGTTATTTTCCTACAGTGGTTGAGGCGTTCTTTCTGGACAGTACCACTGTGAACTACCTAGAGGTGGAACTGTGTCCGTAAGTAGAGCCGTTTCCTAATAGCTTTGATGGCCTGATTGATTGCCAAAATAGGATCCCAGTAGCACTAGACTGATTCTTCCCTTTACTTTTCTATTGCAGACATGGACAGCACTTGGTGTTACTGCTCTCTGGAAGAGGTCATGCATTCATGGTAAGCTAACACCATCACAGCCTCCGAATGAATGACTGAATGGATGGATGAATGGATGGATGAAGGGATGAATGAATTAACGATGGAACAGTACAATGTATTACACTCATATCATATAACTATTTAGTTCTGCCCCAATATACAGTGGGGAAAAAAAGTATTTAGTCAGCCACTAATTGTGCAAGTTCTCCCACTTAAAAAGATGAGAGAGTCCTGTAATTTTCATCATAGGTACATGTCAACTATGACAGACAAAATGAGGAAAAAAAATCAAGAAAATCACATTGTAGGATTTTTAATTAATTTATTTGCAAATTATGGTGGAAAATAAGTATTTGGTCAATAACAAAAGTTTCTCAATACTTTGTTATATACGCTTTGTTGGCAATGACACAGGTCAAACGTTTTCTGTAAGTCTTCACAAGGTTTTCACACACTGTTGCTGGTATTTTGGCCCATTCCTCCATGCAGATCTCCTCTAGAGCAGTGATGTTTTGGGGCTGTCGCTGGGCAACACAGACTTTCAACTCCCTCCAATGATTTTCTATGGTGTTGAGATCTGGAGACTGGCTAGGCCACTCCAGGAACTTGAAATGCTTCTTACGAAGCCATTCCTTCGTTGCCCCGGCGGTGTGTTTGGGATCATTGTCATGCTGAAAGACCCAGCCACGTTTCATCTTCAATGCCCTTGCTGATGGAAGGAGGTTTTCACTCAAAATCTCACGATACATGGCCCCATTCATTCTTTCCTTTACACGGATCAGTCGTCCTGGTCCCTTTGCAGAAAAACAGCCCCAAAGCATGATGTTTCCACCCCCATGCTTCACAGTAGGTATGGTGTTCTTTGGATGCAACTCAGCATTCTTTGTCCTCCAAACACGACGAGTTGAGTTTTTACCAAAAAGTTCTATTTTGGTTTCATCTGACCATATGACATTCTCCCAATCCTCTTCTGGATCATCCAAATGCACTCTAGCAAACTTCAGACGGGCCTGGACATGTACTGGCTTAAGCAGGGGGACACGTCTTGCACTGCAGGATTTGAGTCCCTGGCGGCGTAGTGTGTTACTGATGGTAGGCTTTGTTACTTTGGTCCCAGCTCTCTGCAGGTCATTCACTAGGTCCCCCCGTGTGGTTCTGGGATTTTTGCTCACCGTTCTTGTGATCATTTTGACCCCACAGGGTGAGATCTTGCGTGGAGCCCCAGATCGAGGGAGATTATCAGTGGTCTTGTATGTCTTCCATTTCCTAATAATTGCTCCCACAGTTGATTTCTTCAAACCAAGCTGCTTACCTATTGCAGATTCAGTCTTCCCAGCCTGGTGCAGGTCTACACTTTTGTTTCTGGTGTCCTTTGACAGCTCTTTGGTCTTGGCCATAGTGGAGTTTGGAGTGTGACTGTAAAGTTGTGGACAGGTGTCTTTTATACTGATAACAAGTTAAAACAGGTGCCATTAATACAGGTAACGAGTGGAGGACAGAGGAGCCTCTTAAAGAAGAAGTTACAGGTCTGTGAGAGCCAGAAATCTTGCTTGTTTGTAGGTGACCGAATACTTATTTTCCACCATAATTTGCAAATAAATTCATAAAAAATCCTACAATGTGATTTTCTGGATTTTTTTTCTCAATTTGTCTGTCATAGTTGACGTGTACCTATGATGAAAATTACAGGCCTCGCTCATCTTTTTAAGTGGGAGAACTTGCACAATTGGTGGCTGACTAAATACTTTTTTTCCCCACTGTATTTAATTAAGCTATATTAACATAGACTTACCTCTATTTCGTCACTTACCATAAAAGTAATCTAAGGGTCCAAGAGAGACAGACAGTCATCAATGGTTCAGATTGGTTTCAAACTATTTTGTTTTTGTTTTTCCAGCAACAACTGCCCCTGTCGTTCACGGCGACCATCACAGGAAACAGGTGGAATGGTGAGGCACTTATCCCCTGGCACTACTTCCCCCCTAACGTCAACAAGATGAACTCGTACGCCATCCACGGGTCCGGTGTGGGGCGCACCTACGAGTCCCTCTACCCCGTCCCCCAGGCCGACCTAGTGGAGGGACAGAAGCCCAACTTGTGAGTATATTCATTGCCTTCAGAAAGTTTTCACACCCCTTGACTTTTTCCACATTTTGTTGTGTTACTGCCTGAATGGATTAAATAGAGTGTTTTTGTCACTGGCCTACACACAATACCCCATAATGTCAAAGTGGAATTATGTTTATTCAAATGTTTTACAAACTAATTAAAAATGAAAATCTGAAATGTCTTGAGTCAATAAGTATTCTACCCCTTTGTTATGTCAAGCCTAAATAAGTTCAGGAGTAAAAATCTGCTTAACAAGTCACATAATAAGTTGCATGGACTCACTCTGTGTGCAATAATAGTGTTTAACATGATTTTTGAATGACTACCTCATCTCTGTACCCCATACATACAAATATATGTAAGGTCCTTCAGTCAAGCAGTGAATTTCAAACACAGATTCAACCACAAAGAAAAGGAGGGTCCTTGTCTGTCTATAGAAAAGGAGGGTCCTTGTCTGTCTATAGAAAAGGAGGGTCCTTGTCTGTCTATAGAACAGGAGGGTCCTTGTCTGTCTATAGAAAAGGAGGGTCCTTGTCTGTCTATAGAAAAGGAGGGTCCTTGTCTGTCTATAGAAAAGGAGGGTCCTTGTCTGTCTATAGAAAAGGAGGGTCCTTGTCTGTCTATAGAACAGGAGGGTCCTTGTCTGTCTATAGAAAAGGAGGGTCCTTGTCTGTCTATAGAAAAGGAGGGTCCTTGTCTGTCTATAGAAAAGGAGGGTCCTTGTCTGTCTATAGAAAAGGAGGGTCCTTGTCTGTCTATAGAAAAGGAGGGTCCTTGTCTGTCTATAGAAAAGGAGGGTCCTTGTCTGTCTATAGAACAGGAGGGTCCTTGTCTGTCTATTGAACAGGAGGGTCCTTGTCTGTCTACCTTTCTTTAGTCAGAACACAGTCTCTTCCTCACCTCTTCCTTCCTAAGACACACATTATTCAAGGCTGAAACTCTTACAGAGGCATCTTTCAGGAGAAGACTGCATTGCCAACTCTACACACACACACACACACACACACACACACACACTGCCAACTCTACTTAAAAAAAATATGTTTAGGTGACGGAGATAAAGCCTACTCCGCTGCTGTATAACTATTCATTGCGTAGATGTGTTAGCTGTCAGTGGACAGATTTCAATAGTCAGCCCAATGTTTTATTGCACTGAGAAAATTAAATGCAAATTCACAGATTTCAGTGTGTGCGTGTGTGTGTGTTACCAAACTGACAGATTGCACTTTTCTCTCTCTCTCTCACGACGCAGCCACCTCTTGGAATATTTCCAAGACTTTCGCCTGCAAAGCATCATGGGAGAGGGCTGGGTCCAGCCCGAGTCGGATCTCTGGAAGGGAAAGTGATGAGTCGGGAGAACACACACACACACACACACACACACACTGGAACACACACGCATGATGACAGCCGGCACGACCAAAGTCACGGAGGAGGAACAAAGTGCAATCGATCTTGATTAGTTAATGATGTCAGACTGGATGACATGAAATATGTTATCAGTTTGTCAGATGGTATTAACACCTCACCTCAAATAGCCTTTTACCAACTCAGTGAGGCCTGGTTCAGAAAACACTTTATTTTTTTGTATGAATGAAAGTAAGAATCAAAGTTCATTATATCTGTGCTATCTGTTTTATAGATTTATGCCTTTTTCTGAAATGAAAGACCATTGAATTTGATAATTTTCAATGGTACCTCCAATTCATTGTAGGAGTATCATTGTTATTCAGTAAGGTGAAGGCTTATCATGAAGAGTTTACACTTTGGATTCATGGTTTCTTGCCGTGCATTGATCATCGCACACAATATGTCTGTAATTCATAATTGTGACCAATTCACTGTGCTGTTGCTGGAGTAAGGCTGTTTTGCTTGAATTATTCCTGGGCAAATTAAAATGGATTGTCTACATCCCAAATGGCACCCTATTCCCTGTATAGTGCACTACTTTTCAAAAGTAGTGAACTACATAGGGAATAGGGTGCCATTTGGGACGCAATCGTTGAGATAATTATTTGTCATTTGATAACAGCCATATGTGCCTTTTTGTAATTATGTTAAATGAGCTCTTGTGTCGTCATTACTTCTGGGATCAAAATAGGACTGTTGGCTTATGGAATGTTAATGTAAGTAGATAGGCGGCAGACTACCAAATAAATAAATGAAATAAACTGTGTCCCATGGAGCATTGCCATCAATTTGTTTTCCACCAACACGTTCAGGCAACCTGAAAACTCCATATGTGCATCACACACACACACACACACACACACTTAGGAAAGCGACATTATAATCCCAGCCCTCTTATCCAGGGTATCAATCCTCCCACAGTCTCACTAGCTCACTAGAGACTCACAAACCATCCGGTCAGACTTTTGTGAGCCTCTCCACCTCTCCACCTATCCAACCCTCCACCTCTCCACCTATCCACCCCTCCACCTCTCCACCATCCCAACCCTCCACTCCCCTCACTCACCACCTATCCACCTCCACCTCCCACCTATCCACCCTCCACCTCCCACCTATCCACCCCTCCACCTCTCCACCTCATCCCACCCCTCCACCTTCCACCCTCCATCACCACCATCTCCCACCCCTCCACCTCTCCACCCCTCCACCTATCCACCTCTCCACCCCTCTGCCTCACCACCCCTCCACCTCTCCACCCCTCCACCCATCCACCTCCACCTCCACCTTCACACCCTCACCTCTCCCACCACTCTCCCTCCCACCCTCCACCTCATCCCTCCACCCTCCACCTCCATCTCCACCTCTCCACACCTCCACCCATCCACCTCTCCACACCTCCACCTATCCACCTCTCCAGCAAGTAATCTGCTCCTTCTCTCCACTACACCCCTCCATCCTTCTACTCCATCCCTCAGAGAAACCTCCACCCCTCTCTCCCTCCATCCCTCCGCTTCCACCCTCCATCATTCTACTCCATCCCTCAGAGAAAACCTCCACCCCCTCTCCCTCCATCCCTCCGCTCCACCCCTCCTCCTTTCTACTCCATCCCTCAAGAAAACCTCCATCCCTCTCTCCCTCCATCCCTCCGCTCCACCGCTCCATCATTCTACTCCATCCCTCAGAGAAACCTCCATCCCTCTCTCCCTCCATCCCTCCATCCTTCTACTCCACCTCAGAGAAAACCTCCATCCCTCTTTTCCTCCATCCCCTCCCTCCGCCCCCATCCTCCATCCTTACTCCATCCCTCAGAGAAACCACCATCCCTCTCTCCCTCCATCCCTCCGCTCCACCCCTCCATCCTTCTACTCCATCCCTCAGAGAAACCTCCATCCCTCTCTCCCTCCATCCCTCCGCTCCACCCCTCCATCCTTCTACTCCATCCCTCAGAGAAACCTCCATCCCTCTCTCCCTCATCCTCCGCTCCACCCCTCCATCCTTCTACTCCATCCCTCAGAGAAACCACCATTCCCTCTCTCATCCATCCCTCCATCCCTCCGCTCCACCCCTCCATCCTTCTACTCCATCCCTCAGAGAAACCTCCATCCCTCTCTCCCTCCATCCCTCCGCTCCACCCCTCCATCCTTCTACTCCATCCCTCAGAGAAACCTCCATCCCTCTCTCCCTCCATCCTTCCGCTCCACCCCTCCGCTCTTATTTTTACCCATAAACCTGTATGTCGCCTCAGCAGGGATCTGACTGGTATATTTATCAAGCCTCTCTCTTCATCTCCCTCTCGCTCTCTCTCTCTTTCTTCTTCTCTGTCTTCCTCTCTGTCCCTCTGTCTCACTGTTTTACTATCTCTCTCTAACTCTCTCTCCCCTCTCTCTCCCACTCCCTGTTCGGTCCTGAGACACAGCCTATTGATTTTCAAGTCGGGGTGCTAGACGGTTCTCTCCCTCTCTCTCCGTATCTCTCTCTGTCTCGCTCTATTTCTCTCTATCTGTCCCTCCCCTCTCTCCCCTCCCCCTCCATCTCTCCATCTCTCCACAGCTAGTCGAGGCCAGGTTGTGAGTCCTTATTGAGCTCCATCTATTTTAATTGGTAGCTCTTCCCTTTGAAATGCAGGCAGTGATTAGATGGCAGAGATCCTTAAGCCTCCTCGTTATCGCTCACGGTAACACTACGTACGGTCCTCCACTCACTCCAAGGTGTGTGTGTGTCGGGGTTGAGGCGATGCTTGTAATTCTCCTCACTTGGCACGCTGAAGTTCAGTTTGGCGTTGGTATCGCACGCAAACACACTCACTCGAAACACTTGTGAAAAACTAATGCAATCTCCGCATCGGAGATGTGTTCTCTGATAAGATTCAAGACGGGTTCTTTTTAATTAGACTGAAGAACAGAAGAGAAGAGCAGAGGAGACTTAAGCAGATAGAGACACACACACTCACACACACACACACACACACACACACACACACACACACACGCTCCACTTCAAAGAGACTGACTTAATCTGGAAAAGAATGAAAGGGGGGGCAAACTGTTCTAAAACATTCAATACGACGAGCTCATAAGAGGTTGGTATGTCAGAGAAACTTTCCTTGTAATCTTCACTCATTTCTTTTCGAGGGGACGTGGGTGGTGTGGCCTTATTTCTTAACATTTTGAGGTTTAGGGGAATGAATTGGGGCGGATCAAGTATTGATGAAAACATTTAAAAGGATCAAATGTAGATATGTGTAATTATTAAAGAGTAGAGAGGATGTAGCTAACACTATGTCAGGTGTCATTAAAGAGTAGAGAGGATGTAGCTAACACTATATCAGGTGTCATTAAAGAGTAGAGAGGATGTAGCTAACACTATGTCAGGTGTCATTAAAGAGTAGAGAGGATGTAGCTAACACTATGTCAGGTGTCATTAAAGAATAGAGAGGATGTAGCTAACACTATGTCTGGTGTCATTAAAGAGTAGAGAGGATGTAGCTAACACTATGTCAGGTGTCATTAAAGAGTAGAGAGGATGTAGCTAACACTATGTCAGGTGTCATTAAAGAGTAGATGATGTAGCTAACACTATGTCAGGTGTCATTAAAGAGTAGAGAGGATGTAGCTAACACTATGTCAGGTGTCATTAAAGAGTAGAGAGGATGTAGCTAACACTATGTCAGGTGTCATTAAAGAGTAGAGAGGATGTAGCTAACACTATGTCAGGTGTCATTAAAGAGTAGAGAGGATGTAGCTAACACTATGTCAGGTGTCATTAAAGAGTAGAGAGGATGTAGCTAACACTATGTCAGGTGTCATTAAAGAGTAGAGAGGATGTAGCTAACACTATGTCAGGTGTCATTAAAGAGTAGAGATGATGTAGCTAACACTATGTCAGGTGTCATTAAAGAGTAGAGATGATGTAGCTAACACTATGTCAGGTGTCATTAAAGAGTAGAGAGGATGTAGCTAACACTATGTCAGGTGTCATTAAAGAGTAGAGAGGATGTAGCTAACACTATGTCAGGTGTCATTAAATAGTAGAGATGATGTAGCTAACACTATGTCAGGTGTCAATAAAGAGTAGAGAGGATGTAGCTAACACTATGTCAGGTGTCATTAACTATTTGAGGACTTAAATGTCAGTTACCTATACCCATCCGAGGGACCGTCAACAACAATCTGGGGACCAGTGTTGGTCCAGGAACCAGGAGTTGAGAAAAGCTACTCAATAACTGGTGACTTCCAGACAACACCATGTGAACAGCATCACAACATTAGCCTAACCGGAGTTCAACCACCCCATCCATTTACCCTTGGTCAAAAGATCAACACAGCCATCATATTCACAACACAACACAATCTTCAACCATCTCCATTCTCACTCCTACATTCATTCAGGGTTCAACCTCCTAATGAGAGACTCATGGGTAGGAACATGGAGACATAATGACTGTCTGCTGTTGGGTAAATAACACACACACACCCACACAGGCTGTTGGGTAAATGTTTATTAGCGACAGCTAATTATTGTCCGACAACTCCATCATCACCAAGAGGCCATGGTTGTGTGTGTGTGTGTGTGTGTGTGTGTGTGTGTGTGTGTGTCTGTGTGATGCAGGCTGGGTAGACAGAGCTGTTCAGAGCAGGGTTTAGGTCTGAGAAGGCCTAATGACATGGGCCGTAATTGAGGCAGAAGGCGGCCATATTGTTGTGGGGCGAGGCCGTGAACAGAATCCAGTAAGGGAGAAGGGAGCGAGTCGGAGCAGAGAGGTTGTATTTGTGTGTGTGTGTGTGTGTGTGTGTGTGTGTGTGTGTGTGTGTGTGTGTGTGTGTGTGTGTGTGTGTGTGGTGTGTGTGTGCACAGCCAAGCCAAGGGAGCGGGAGAGCCAAAGGAACGCCAGTCAATGTTAATGAGGGCTAGACAAGCTCCCACTTAACCCAGCACAGAGCAGAAGATGAGAAGAAGGAGAGAGAGAAAGACTTGTCATTAGGAGAGAATATCAGAGGCATGCACACACACTCACACACACACACTCACTCACTCACACACACACACACACTCACTCACTCACTCACTCACTCACTCACTCACTCACTCACTCACTCACTCACTCACACACACACACCTCTCAGTTAGTGGGTTAGTAATATTAGAATGTAGATTTGTCCTCATCATGATCAGATAATGACAGTAGAATGCTCTCTGTTAACCTCATGTTAATGCCATGTCAGTCAGCTCTCTGTTAACTTCATGTTAATGCCATGTCAGTCAGCACTCTGTTAACCTCATGTTAATGCCATGTCAGCTCTCTGTTAACCTCATGTTAATGCCATGTCAGTCAGCTCTCTGTTAACCTCATGTTAATGCCATGTCAGTCAGCACTCTGTTAACCTCATGTTAATGCCATGTCAGCTCTCTGTTAACCTCATGTTAATGCCATGTCAGTCAGCTCTCTGTTAACCTCATGTTAATGCCATGTCAGTCAGCTCTCTGTTAACCTCATGTTAATGCCATGTCAGTCAGCACTTTGTTAACCTCATGTTAATGCCATGTCAGCTCTCTGTTAACCTCATGTTAATGCCATGTCAGTCAGCTCTCTGTTAACCTCATGTTAATGCCATGTCAGTCAGCTCTCTGTTAACCTCATGTTAATGCCATGTCAGTCAGCTCTCTGTTAACCTCATGTTAATGCCATGTCAGTCAGCTCTCTGTTAACCTCATGTTAATGCCATGTCAGTCAGCTCTCTGTTAACCTCATGTTAATGCCATGTCAGTCAGCTCTCTGTTAACCTCATGTTAATGCCATGTCAGTCAGCTCTCTGTTAACCTCATGTTAATGCCATGTCAGTCAGCTCTCTGTTAACCTCATGTTAGTATCATATTTGAAGTATGGGTAGGTCTGTACCCACCAATCACAAGTGCGTTATGTGTATGTTGACAGTGTATGAGCCAGGTAAAACCTAGACTTGGTGATAGTTGTTTGTTGAAGCGCAACCCTTCCATCGATGTATTAAATAATTATTGAACGTGGAAGAACTGTCTGAGGTTCCCTGAGTCATCTCATCACTCCTCTACTTATTCAATCTTCATTATGATCAGGACAAAGTCAGACTCTTTATGCATTGATATTTCATAACGACACAAGGCCTCGTCAATAATGGTTAGATTCCAAAAGTGCCTGTCATACACTACCGTTCAAAAGTTTGGGTCACTTAGAAATGTCCTTGTTTTCGAAAGAAAAGCAATTTTTTGGTCGATTAAAATAACATCAAATTGATCAGAAATACAGTGTAAACATTGTTAATGTTGTAAATGTAAATAAGCATTTCACTGTAATGTCTGCACCTGTTGTATTCGGCGCATGTGACCAATACAATTTGATTTGATTTGATTTGATTTGAAATGGCTATTGTAGCTGGAAACGGCGGATTTTTAATGGAATATCTACATAGGCGTACAGAGGCCCATTATCAGCAACCATCAGTCCTGTGTTCCAATGGCACGATGTGTTTGCTAATCCAAGTTTATCATTTTAAAAGGCTAATTGATCATTAGAAAAACCTTTTGCAATTATGTTAGCACAGCTGAAAACTGTTGTGCTGATTAAAGAAGCAATAAAACGGGCCTTCTTGAGACTAGTTGAGTATCTGGAGCATCAGCAATTGTGGGTTCGATTACAGGCTCAAAATGGCCAGAAACAAATAACTTTCTTCTGAAACTCGTCAGTCTATTCCTGTTCTGAGAAATGAAGGCTATTCCATGCAAGAAATTGCCAAGAAACTGAAGATCTCGTACAACGCTGTGTACTACTCCCTTCACAGAACAGCGCAAACTGGCTCTAACCAGAATAGAAAGAGGAGTGGGAGGCCCCGGTGCACAAATGAGCAAGAGGACAAATACATTAGAGTGTCCTCAACTGGCAGCTTCATTAAATAGTACCCGCAAAACACCAGTCTCAACGTCAACAGTGAAGAGGCGACTCCTGACCTTCTAGGCAGAGTTGCAAAGAAAAAGCCATATCTCAGACTGGCCAATACAAAGAAAAGATTAAGATGGGCAGTCAGAGATATGGCTTTTTCTTTGCAACTCTGCCTAGAAGGTCAGGAGTTGCCTCTTCACTGTTGACGTTAAGACTGGTGTTTTGCGGGTACTATTTAATGAACCTGCCAGTTGAGGACACTCTAATGTATTTGTCCTCTTGCTCATTTGTGCACCGGGGCCTCCCACTCCTCTTTCTATTCTGGTTAGAGCCACACACACACACACACACACACACACACACACACACACACACACACACACACACACACACACACACACACACACACACACACACACACACTTGTTGGATGCCTGCAGCCCTGCACATCACGTGTGTGTCACAAAGAGGAATCAAGTTCATACCTTACCGTTGAACAAACAGAACCAAATGGTGCCAGGGAGAAGGAGAAAAACACTCACTTGTATCATGTTTGGTATCAAAGGAGAAAATAAATCACAAATGTTGTTTTCATTGATTTCATTATACTCCTCTGATGAACCATCTGTGTCCCAAATGGTATCCTATTGCCTATAAAGTGCACTACTTTAGATCAGAGATGAGTCCCAAGAGTTGTTTTCTCTCTCTTTCTCTCCATTTTCCTGTGGATGGATGGATGGACGGATGGAGGGATGGATGGATGGTAGTGTTGGCTGTGAAACTAAGTGAATTTTATCCCATTAAAATACATTCATTACCAGTCCAGGGGGTTTGAGCATGCAAATGTGAACCAAAGGTTCTTCTGTTCTAGTCTTATACCTTAAGGTATTACATTCAAATGTTAATTTGTATTTATAGTAAAAGCTAAAAAGCGGTTATTTATTGCAACTCTGGTATATCATCCAAACGCACAACTACTTCATTGGAAAATTGTTACCCTGGTAACTAAGGGTAAA